CGAGCATGAAGAAACATGTTTACACATTCAGAGAAGATTGAGAAGCATGCATCGCTGATTAGTTCACGAAGCATCCTTTATTCTTCATCGGATAGTGGGGCTGCCGCACAATCGACCAGCGCAATGTCCCTCTTCCAGTCTTTTTGTGTGTTGGCGACTGGAGGCCACGCAGTGGATCTCCTGCGCGACGGCCATGGTTGCCGGCCCCACATGTCGTTATATAGTTTGTGTGTGTGTATTTTTACTTTTAAAAAAATTAGTCGATCTTTGAAGAACTGGCAGGGAAATTTGCACGAATGGCTTTAGCCCAAGACCGGCCTCGTGTTTGAACTCGCGGCTCAAGGGAAGCTGTTTGGGAGTTCTTTTTTCCCTCTTCTCTGAGGATATGGTATATATATATATATCCTGTGTGCTTTACTGATATCGTTATCCCTCACGCATGATTGGTGTTGAGCGTTGCAAAACGGGAAGTGAGTCTCAGTCATATGCCAGTGATGCCCAGTGTTTGGACGAATACCACCTGTGTTTGCACACGACACATGGAAGTGTGGACAGCAATCGACTGATTTCACATGTTTGACATGTTTGTCAAACATGTGATGGACTGATGGACTGATGCCTCCATCTGTACCCTCTGCGGTTGTCCTTCCAAGATGTCCAAATCGCTGTGAGCGTCCTGCAGCCAGTGCGAGAGAGGGACGGCGAGCGGCCCGGAGTCAAGAAACGAGAGATGGAACAGAATCTGCAGTGCTTTCCTGGAGATTTCTCAACGGGCTGCGAGAAAGTCAACAAGCTTCTATTGTGGAGAAGGCCTGCACCACACGATGGGAGGAAGGTGTCAAGGCATGGGATTCTCTGTTTCCAGCACAACTGAGCTGGCTTTCGGGGCTTCATTTCCATGTGATAGGCCCAGCCAGTGCAACCTGGCCAATCCCAAAATTCAGAGTTTGCAGTTGCAGGAGTCTCATCCTGCGGCTTCAGCTCCTCCAGCTCCTACTCCGGTGTGTTGCACGCTTCCCGCCCTTCCAGTGCCTTCCTGCCCTGTTCTCTCGAAGCCACGGATCGCAGCCAAGTGGAGGGAGGATGCTTCTTGGGGAAGGGACATTGGTCGATACATCGGCCACATGGCTGAGTCATGAAAATCAGTCCTGGACTGGTTTGAAGAAGCCTTTTTGGTGATGTCTTTTTGGTTGTATTCCGGTTAGATTTTCTATATAAATCATGTAGGTACTGTTGATGACTAAAGCCCCCCATATGGAGAGATTTCACCCAAATTGGGCAGTTATATACTTTTAATCAATCAACACTCATCAGGCAAAGCCAATTGCGTCGCCGGGCCGATCCAATTGCCTTTCGATTCGTGGGCTGAGGGGACGGCTATTTGCCAGAGGAACTGGGGCCGAAGCTACAAGGCCTGGAGCGGATCGAACAGCTCTTCGTTTTGCAACGGGCCATGGCGCACCGGATACGCTACGAAAAGGGCAAAGTCACGGTGAAGCGAGAGCCAGGAAAATGTGGATTGAAGCTTGGCCAAGAAAGTGCCGAATTCGAGCTGATCGATGGTAAGTTTTCGTGCTGTGGCTAAGCCTCCAGGATTGCACAGACTCCCCCTTCTAAAGAAGCATAGGAACCGTGGAGCAGTGCTTCAGGTTCTTGTTCGATGCTCGTTCATTCTTGATTTTGCGCAGGAACAAGCCTGTTACCTTCGCTTCCAACATTTGGAATCGTGGATATGCGAACTGCGCTGGACATTGTGTGGTTTTTGCTTCGGCCATGAAAGCCTTAGGGATTCCCTACTGCGTGGTGACCTTGCGGAGCAAAATGAAAGGCAAGCCAAAGCATGCCATCATGCAGGCAGGAACTTTCCACAAGGAAACCTTTCCCTATATAGAGCCTAGAGCCTTTGGGGCCCTCACCCGCCTCTTGAGCCTAGCCTTCGCGATTGCACTGAAATTTTGCAGGTGGGCTTTCCAGAAGAAACTGATATCAGGACACCCGGCAGCCAGGAACACCAATCAAGCCAATCAAGTGGAAAGGATGCCGATGACAACTGTGTGTGCATCTGAAACATGATATAATATAACATGCTACAACATATTGCAACATAATACATATATACTGCATATAGTATATATATATAGATAAGAATGTATGATCTATCTCACTGATGTGGAAGCAGCTCAAATCGCGCCCTTGTGAAGTCACAGTGAAGCCACCTGTTCCTGTTTTTTCTTCTTTTGAAGTGGGTTGCTCCAGGAGAGTGTCAAGAAGAGCCACAGAGCTGTGGGCCCAGTTCTACGGCGACACGGTGCAAGTGAATGCGTATCACCGGCAGGCCAGTTCGAACGACTCTGCCGAGACTGGGGGTCCGAAGTCGTGACGAGGGAGTCAACGGAGTCAAGCTGGCACATATCATATATAGCCGCACGGTGTAGCCAGTATGATGGGAGTGTGCAAAGCTGATTGAACATGGTTGAACCCATCCCTGCAGCCTCGGCTGCGGGTGGCCTTTTCATGGCTAGCCCAAACAGCCTGGATTGTAAGCCCAAGACTCTTGGGTTGATGAGAGTGGGTGACTCTGGTGAGTCGAGGTTCGCCTCTACAGCGGCCTCAAGTTCGTTCGGAGCCGGATGGGAAGTGAAGCTGCCAAGAGAAAGGGCTTGGGACACTGGCTGATCCTGGACCCCGTGGCGAAGGTGGGACGCTTCACGTCGTGTCATGGTGCGAGATTCGTGAGGTTTGTGGTAGCAGGGCGAATGAACCTGATGGTTGCAGGTTGGTTGCTACCATCACTTGGTCAAGAACGGCTACATGACCCAGTCGAAGAAGGCCTTTGGTTTTTCATCCAAGCCACAAATCAAGTCGTGGCAAAGGGCTGAAGATGAAGCCCATGAATCCTCAAGTGACAGTGGTTCGGACACTTTAGATGTTGATGTCCAGAGTGCCTGAAGTGGAATTCATGCCCAGGGCGAAGCTTTGGCAATCACAATGCCTGCCTAGCTCTATGTCTATGTTTTTTCTTTTAGATCCGTGTACAGCTTGTGTCACCAAAGTTTGTCCAATCTTTTGGCCACTCCATCTTTGACATCTAGGTGCCTGATTGGAATTGCGTGCGAGGTCAAATCTGTGCCATCAGTGTGGGTAGGAGATTGTACAGTAAGAACTTGGATGCGCTGGTGGGGCCCCTCTGGACCTGCTCTTTTTGCGGCTGTCAGAGCCAGGATGGATGTCCTTCCAGACGTGGCCATCCTGCATCAGGTAGGAGGTTTGTCCAGGTGCTTCTTTCCATATATATATATATACGGAGGTTGTGTGAACATGTTTGAAATATATAAATTCAGCTCGCCCAATGAAAGACACATCAGTTACACATTCATTCCTTTCTTGTTTTTCACACCTTTCCTAGCTTGTTTCTTCGATTGGGCATGTGAAACTCTGACTCTGTGGCTTGCAAGTTGGACCTTTGCCTGCCGGCGACTGCACGGCTACACTCTCCAAGAACCCCAAATCGTGAACGAGGTTGATTTCTCATCGCTTTTCTTTTCTTTCTTTAGTGGTTCGGCCGGCATGTTGGCACTGCCAAGGGTGTGTGCGGCCATTGGTGAAAGGCCACTGCTGCGGAGGTGTTTGCAAGAGATGACTTGGGCCCCCGAACCAGGGATGACCACACACACACACTCTCTCTCTCTCTATATATATATACAGTATATAATACATATATATATACACATAGTTTGACTATGTATATATATATATATCCTTGTCAACTCGAAACTGGGGCTACCAACCAAACCTTTTCGATGCAACGTTTGCGTTCCTTGGCAGGGGATACCCAACACATGGACCGATTGGACGAGGTGAGTCTTCATCCCAGATGCACGAGGTGCTCGCCTCACGCAGCCATTTGAGGCTCCAGTTTTGCTAAGCAACTGGAATTCTGCTGGGAAGCATCTAGGCAGAAGATTGGGGCGCATGACACTTCCACATGGGTGAGTAAGCATCCATTGGTAGATATTGTAGATGAAGTTTCGGGAAATTCTGGTGAACACAAACTGTCTGGACATGGATTGGGCCTTACTGTCATCAAAACGAATCCATCGGATTGTCACGCAAGGTCATGCCAGCCTAGTTCTAGTCGGACACTTTGCACTGCAGGCTGGGTGCTTTCTCAGAAGCTGGCGTGCCACATAGAAACAGACAGGTGCACGCACACATGTACTGTGTATTAAAGTAACATAAATATGTATGTATATAGTATATAGTGTTTTGGTTAGGACACGTCATGTGCATGCTTAGAGCCGAACTTGAGAGAAACAACAAACAGTGGCCCCAGGGCATTGGAAGAAGGTGTGTCGGTGTGTCAATAACAGCCGGATGAAACACACGCTGTTAGCATCTCTGCTTCGAGGCGCTGTTGTGCAGCCAATTTGGCTCGCCCCTGAGAAAACTTAGTTGATGAACACTCAGCATATCATGTCCCAGCATCTCCCGCCTGCCCCGAACAGAATTCTGATCTCCCCGAAGAACGCCACGAGGTATGGCCCACTTCTTCGAGATGCAAGCTAGAAAAGATGAGGCGTGCTGTTTTTCTTCCTTGTTATGAAGCGGTTTCTGACGAAACTGAACAGATGGAACACAGTGAATCTGATGGTGACATCGCAGTTCAGAAGCCACGCCCAGAATGGTAGGTGTAGTTGCTTGGTGTACTTTCCAGTGAGCCATTTTTGGCAAGTGTGTGGTTCACTGACACATGCTTGCTTGGCAGGTGGTGAAGAACTTTTTTGCCAGAACGCAGGATGCTAGTGACTCACTCCCGTTGGAGGTGCGGAGCTGTCCATCAAGCCAGACTCAGAACTGCGCTTGCTACATTTGGCTTCTTTCGCCTTTTTCTAGCTGGGAAGTCAATTTGTCCTTCGCGCTGGCAGGTGGCGGCAGTCACCAAAATCCAGTCCGTGCATCGAGCTACTCAAATCCGGATCATCTACCACGCCATCGTTGCAGCAGTGGCGTTGGTTGCACTTATATAAATATGAGAAACTTTGATTTTTTGCGGCTTTGCGTCTCGCGAGGCTGCTTCGCATTTTGCCAGGCGAGCCTCATCCAACGTATGGTGCGTGGCTGCCTGGGTCGCAAAAAGGCTCGAGAGGTCAGCGATGAGCGTGCCTTGGCCCAAGAACTTGCTGCTCCTTTTTCAGCTTGCGGCAGCTGCGGCACTACGCATATCTACGCATGAATTATTGGCAAAGCGGTATTGCGACCTTTGTGTATTTCTCATTATTCACCACTCACAAGAAGGGAAAAGGTAGTTGGCATTTGAGGTCGAGTACGTGGCCCCCCCCTCTTTGTTGATGTTCTTTCTGTCAGCTGCAGTGAGATTTGGCAGGAAAGAATCGCCTCAAACTGCACTTCTTCCATCATTGCGTTTGGGGCCTTAGATTTGCTGGAGACTTCATTCCAGAGAATTGTACGTGTGTGAAAACTGATGGGCCCAGCCGGCGTGCGCCTCCTTTGCGAAATCAGCTCGCTGTCCAACACAAACTCCAATCGAATGAACAGACAAGCTTGGTTCGGATCGACATGGCCGGCAAGATCGTTCGGATCTTCGGGGGCTCCGGGTCGGAGGGTCTTTTCAGCTCGAGGCCTGCACGATTCAGAGGGTCTTCCGTGGACGCTGGAGCCGAAAGCGCGTGCACAGCTTCTATGGCCGAAAGGTCTACTTGGAGAAGGTGCCGTGGTGGGATGCACTAGCGAAAAGAAGGGAGTGTTCTTAGAGGTAGACTGCCACCAGTTTGGTGGATCCGTTTCGTGACGGAAGCCTCTCACACCAGCACATGACGCCAAGGAAATAACATGAAATCAGTGAAACAAAAGCTCTTGCGGTCTTTGTTGTGCTTGCTCCAACAGAGAGGTTGAAAAGCGCGGCGTGTGGACAAAAGCATTCCTCATTGAGGAACACAAGGAGTCGATGTGAGATTGCAGAAACAACTGTTCATTGCTTGGTGGTGGTCCCTGCTGTTGCAGTTGCTCTTCTTCAGGAGAAGTTGGCAGCGGCAAAAATTCAGGAGGAGCAAAAGGTCAAAGAGGAGCATCCTACCTGAAATGAAGAGATGATATATAAGAGATGGGCAGGTAGATGGTGTCCCCAGTGTCCAATTGAAAGTCTTGCAATTCAATGCCTCAAAAGTAGAAACCAATCGAACACCCTGATAGTTGATACAACAAATACATCCAAAGGTATATGTCCAGAGCTTAGTCGCCTGCATTTGCGACTTCTGAGGTTTGACAACTTAGCTGGCGACCTGTGCCTTGTTTGCATCCATTTGGTGCTTCAGTGAAGTCTTACAAGAACCACCTCTGGGTGCGAGAGAAAGAGGAAGAACAGAACAAACGATCGAAGATATCGGTTAGCGATCCGTCACGGTTTCGGCTACGTCTCAGATCGAAGGGCTTGGCCTTCTGTCAGGACAGAGACATGTGATGCCTTATGACCCTTCTAAGGCACCACCTGATGAGCACAAGGACGATCCCAGGCAGGGGGGCCACCCACCGCCGACATAGACAGGTGTGCAGAGTGAAAGTTATGGCTCCTTATGGCATATCCATGCGTATCCACTACTAAATCGACTAATATGTTCTGCACTGCTCCATAGTGATTGTCATTTGGGGTGTCAGGTGTGTACAATCCACCTTACAGCGACCTGCTGCCACGGGCTTTTGAGAAGCCCATTGAGGAGCACTTGCGCGATGCGTGTGTAGTACCTTGGCAGACTTCGACAATGCAAACTCATACTCATGGTATATATATATATTTATAGAATTAGCCTTACTACTAGGAACAAAGGACGCTACTAGGGGCTCCTGGCCTTACTACTAGTAGCGTTTGTAACAAATAGATCAGAAGATCAGATGTCATGAAGTCTCCGATATCTTGCCTACCGCCAGGCCTTTGCTGCATGTGTGACATTCCTTCCCAACAGTCTTTATCGAAGAACATCGAAGAACCCTGCTTTTGAGGTGAAGGTGCCAGCATCTATGAAAAGGCTATGGATAAGGGTCGTGGGGATTGTCCTGCATCGCTGTGCTACAATCCACAGTTTTCAACAACTCATGCTGTTTTGTCATGCTAGTTGACTGAATCCAGCTTTGGATATGACTCCATCCAGGCCTCGGCACAAGTCGGCAGCTGCGGCCCGTTCGGCACGCTTTGGGATGTCACAGGCACTTGGTGTACAAGTGTGCTCGCTATGGGGCTCCGAGCAATGCTTTGCCGCGCAGGCTGAGATGTCACAGGAACAACGTGGGATGCCCCCGCAGGAGCTTCCAGATCGGGCACCCTATTTCTCTCGAGCAGCGAGCTCGGGTCTGGGGCCCAGTTCACCACGGTGAGTTCGGCGGACCTCACAGGGGACAGCCAGGGTCTATGATTGTAGACATTGTAGACTCTTGATTGAAAGAATGTCTAAACAAACCGTGTGAAGAGGTTCTTTACCATTCCATTGCGGGGCTTTGTTGATCAATTGCCTACATCAGAGCTCCACAGAGCCAGTTGGAGGGACCTAACAGAACTCCCCCGGAGTTGCCTCAGGTCGGCTGCGCAAGAATCAAGGGCCTTTCAGATCCAAAGAGCAAATCGAAGTGGTGGCAACCTGAGCCGGCCAGTTCCGGTTTTCTCCAATGCCGTGGCGCAGTGGCGAGTTTTTTCCACCATCAATCTCGTTGGACGCATGGTTTTTCTCCAATAAAACGACCGTCCGACGCACAGAGCAGTGGGATGAGGCCAACGTGAAGGCGGCAAACATGTACAGAGTCTTGGCCTGCACTGGAACATCAAACCCTTCATCATGAAAGGTACTTCTGACGTGGCCAGGTCAAGCTGGGGGTTTCTTTCTCACACCTTCCAAGTCCCCAATGCCTGTGACCTTCCTGGGAGTGGCTTCGAATGACAGGTGCATCTGTATTGTTCTCTCCAGGCTTGGAGAGAAGTTCAAGCATTTGAAGGGAAAGCCGCATGACTTGAACTGAAGTGAGCAGAGGACTGGAACTGGTCCACCATCCCTTGAGCTTGACAAAGAAGGAGGGAATCAGAGGAAGGTTGGCTTGAAAGAATCGAGTGTCAGTACAGGCGCCTTGAACAGGCGCAAGTCAGGGTGTGGAGTTTTGGAAGAATCAGTTGAGATCAACAGGTCCGGTCCTGGGACACGTCGGCCTTGTGCCGATTAGACGTGTGGTTTGAATGCTCTTGCGGGCCAGGCGTGCATGCTCAATCTCGCCGGACTATATTCCCTATAGGACCCTATTAGCTACCCTAGTAGCATCCTTGCTCCTAGTAGTACGGCCAGGAGCCCCTAGTAGCGTCCGATCGCTCCGTTCGTAGCGATGCCTGCTCCTAGAGCTTCGTTTTTGAAGCTCAATCGGCCCGTGACCGGTACCACGCTCCGAAGGGCGGACATGGTCAGGCACGTCGCGTAGGGTCATGCAACAGCAACGTTGCCAACGTGCCGTAGCATATGAATATGCATCGTCAAGTAAGGGCGGCTGACATTCGTGTTCCTGCATAGGCGCGAGTTTGACAACAGATGTGCAGCGTTCCTAAAGAAATCTTGCCAGTTGGGCAACCGGAGCTGTGCTAGGCTGCTAGACCGTTTCGCCTACTCGATTGGCATGATGTTTGGAACTTCAACTTGGGCTGGCCCCCCCTGTGCTCAGAAACCTCTTTGGCCCCAAACACTGCATGCCAAATGGACCAGGGCAGGGGGGTGGCATGTTGCCAAGTTCGGTCTTGAGACGCTGGACTTTGCCAAAGTTAGCGGCTTGGTGTTTTCTTTGGCCATAAAGCCCCCTCAGCAGCCTGTTCAGGAAGTATCCAAGCCACGGGGCCTTATGACGCCTTGGAGCGTGACAAGAGGATGCAGGCAGGACGTTCGCATGACGGCGAGGACCATTCCTGCAGACGTTGGCGATGTCGATTTTTCCATGTGAAACTGTGGAACAATTGCAAGAGACCAGCATGATCTCTCCGTATTTCGTTTTGGCGAGGCTAAAATCTCCAAGATGGCAAGATCTTCGCCCTTGGACTTCCGCGCTGCCGGGGAAAAGCAGAAGCCGGCGCCCTCTAGCATTCGTGTGCTGGGAACTTAGTTTGGGCCACGTAGCATATGCTTCTTCAGGCTAAGAGAATGAGATGACGGAGCCATGTGTGGCTTTTTGATTGAGGACATTCAGGGAACTGCGTTGACAAAGCAGTAGGGAGAAAGGTAAAGTCTGGCCAAGCACCCTAGAAGATGGAAGGAGATTGCGCGAACGTCCTTGAAGGAATCCTTCATAACAAAATACGTTTTAGCTGTCACATGACTTGAGGGGCTTACCTTTCTCAGACCGCCCGGTGGACTTGCGCGGTGACTTGGTGGAGCTTCCCAAGATCAAGGACCTGAACAAGAAGTGGGACGCGTTTGTCTTGGGAAAATGACTGACGCGAGACAGATTGAACGCAGCATGCAGCATGCAGCAGAAAAGCATACAGTAGAGTCACTTGTCCACGCTTCAGACCTTGCGATAGCGGAGAACCAGATTGGGTGAAGTGAAGCAATCTGGAAAGTTCTTTGAGAGGACAAACCTCCATTCTTCACGGCGCATGGCGGTGGCAAGCAGTTTGCTGACTATGATGAGCGGCATTTGTGCCAGGGCATATTTGGTTTCGCGTGTTCTTCCCGTTTTACGATCAACCTTGCAGTGGTTAACAGTTTACCTTGTTTGTGCGCTGATCGGTCGCTTAGCTTAGGCTTCCTCATGGCCACGCGTGAGAGAAGCTTCATCTATGTAGAAGTAGTCACAGATCGACGATCATGGCATTTAGGGCGCCGTGGACGTTGGCTTTTCGCAGATGGCGATGAAAGAACCTTCGTTTTGGTCCGTTTTGAGCAATCAGAGAGGCGACCTGTGCGAGACTTTGCTCTTGCCAACCCGGTTGGCAGGAAGTAGCTCGTTTTATGTTCAAGTGGCCGTTTGATGATGTGGAATTCGCACATGTGCAAAGGCTGCAGTGTACAGAAGCGACATGACGCGCTCCTGCAATCCTGAGGGTGCACGCTTCAATTATTTGACTCTATCTTCGCTCACAACAATGCAGAAGCAACACGGCATCAGCGACATATATATAATATATTTAGTATTATTGTCTAATATAATATATGTAATATATCAATTGTTTGATATATTCTTTGGTTGCAGCTCGGCTCTTTGAGAAAACTGCCTCTGCAGCATGCATCCTGGCTGAAGAACTTCTCGGTGGCTTCGCCACCCGTGAAAGGTGTTTGCCTTTCTGCTGGGGTTGGGCTCGACCGCAACGCCCATGCTGCCTTTTCTTTGCAGTTCCCTTTCCCCAGGCGCAGCACAACCCCAGCTTTCTGATGCAATTCCTCAAGGGATCTGATGTCTCACCATTTTGTGGATAGAAGCAGAGGCCTTGGCGGCTATGAAGAATACAGATCAGTGATGGCAGATCAAAAGAGAATCCTGCAAGTTTTCAAGAGTTCGGAATCTGTGCTCTTTGTTTGGTTCAGCGACTTGGGTCCCTTTGCTTCGGGCCCGCTTCCTTCATGTTGGGCTGGCAGACATCTGTTGTGCGTTTCCTTCTTTGGCACCACACTTCTTCCGTAAGTACTTCCCGAATCTACCCACTCAAGCTCCGATTTGCTAGAGGCCCTTAGTGGCTTCAAAAACCTGGTCCCTGACCGCGGCCAGGGTGACGGAGATTGTCGGTGTTCACTGAGGGATGGCCAGATGAGGACTGGAGGGTGTTTGCTAATTTGAAAGTTTGAGATTTCTGGATCATTCATGTGCTGAGTAATGTGGGCTTCGCGAGAAAGAGAGAAAGAGAGAGAAAAAGAGAGAGAGAGAGAGAGAGCGCGAGAGTGAGAGCGCAGGAAGCAAGGAAGCCAGCAATCAAGCAAGCAAGCAAGAAGGAAGGAAGCCGGGGGCTAAGCGGCTATGATCTGATTGGTGACAGTTGGGAGGAGCGAGCTCTGCAACCTGATGGCAACACAACGGCCAACGCCAGCAGCTCAGTTGTCTCATTGGGCGAGAAGGGGAGGGTTAGGAGAAAATGGTGTAACTTTGCCAGAACGCTCTTAAACATCGGTTTCTTGTCGCCGTTTGGCACACGCGAAAGGTGTCAAATACGAACTGCTTATGGTTCTTAGTCATTTAGCTGCTTAACCATGTCCAAGCCAGTGCGGCTGAATCACTAACGTGGAAGCACTGAGACGTCAAAGTGTGAAGCCGCCACACAGAGGTGTTTTAAAAATCATCAACGGATTGCTGCGGATTTTCGCCTGAGCAATTCCCCGTCTTCCTGCCAAGAAGACATGTGAACCACAAGACATGCGAAGCACTTGAAACTCCTTTGCATCGGGGCCGTGACCGTGGCCGTCTCGGTGACGTCCATGGCCTGGGTGAATGCCTTCGAGCGCCGGCCTTTGCGGCAGCTGTTGGATCAGCACCGTGAGGCGATCGATGCCATGCGGCAGGTGTGGACAGGTTTGGTACTCCACTGGTGTTTTCCAGGCTAGGTTTTCGGTACTGCAAGGGCGAGACATTTGTCACGAGAGCATTTAGCGCCGCATTGTAATTCATTCGGGCCTCACTTGGTTGTGACAGGAGCTGGGTGACAGCCCTTTCGACGACACCTCCCTGCTGCGCTATGCCTTAAGCTACGGCCAACGTCCACACGAAGCGGTGGAAGCAGCGCGCAAGGCCTTGGCTTGGCGCCAGGCGCGGGGTGCGGTACAACGGACCCTCGCGGTGGAGGCGTGGTGAGACGGGAGAAGGCAAGAAGGTTCACCAGAGATTAGCCAGGTTTAGGTCATTTGATGTCTAGGTGATGGGTTCCGAATGGTTCCGAGCTTCATGAAAACATGGGGTGTTTTCACAGAGGTTGTGGACGAACAACGTGAGACATCACAGGTAATTATGTGCATTGTTTGTACATGGCGAATTCTCAGGAGCACAGGGGCTTGGTGGAAGCCGCCCGTGAACGAAAAGCCCCTCCTGGCTTAAGCACTTCGGAGCTTTGCACCCTGCAGACTTTGCTTCTGACTGCCTTCCATGGAACCACGGCTTTTGGAGATCCGCGCCTTGGCATTGCTCACGGAGTAGGAACCCGATTTGTTTCGTCGGCGTAGAAGGAATTCTGAAGGTTTATTTTTATTTCCCTCCTTCTCAGGCGACGAAGGTACACACAATGGAATGGATATAGAATGTTAATTATAGTGTAAATGATGTAAAGACTCATGCTGTGACTGTGGACTACGGTGCTTTTGTTTTTGCTGTTGTTGGCCATCTCTGTTTCCTTACAATATATTTGCTTTTCCTGCTCGCACTTGGTTAGTGGTTTTAAAACCAAAGAGGGCCCAGGTTGGGTGCCAGGAAAAGGGCGTCGCTGGATGGATTTGAAGCACCACAAAAACCGATTGAATTGGACACACCATGCACAATGTACATATTGTCACAGTGCATGCAAGTTGATGTAGATTGGGCAACCTTAGGCACAAGGCGTCCAGACCTTTCCACTGTGGAATAACAAACCTCCAAGTCTTCTTGTATTGTAAACTCCTTCAAATTGATCAACACACCTGACTCTGCACAGTTCTTTAGTGCCAGAAGGTCTACTACCCAGTCTTACCATGTCTTACCTCTATCAAATCAGACCCACGACTCTCGCCTCTCCTTATGAAGAACATTTGTCCTCAACCCCGCGTTTCCGCCCTCTCTACCATCTCAAGCGCACCGACTCAGGATCTTCGTCATTCGAGCTGGCGTTACCAATCAGAGCGCCATTCTGGACCCAAATCAGTTTGTCACCTGAGAACGGCGAAATCCGTTCGTCACGCGAATGGCCTTTGGTGAACCCTTTCGTCACTCCAACGACCCACGACCCCCTTGGAGTGCCGAACGATCGGCGCCAAAGAGCGGTGTTATTCGACAGGACCTGGTGGGCGACGAAAAGCTGGAGTTATGGGTGAACTACCTGAATGAATGTTCTTTTCAATACTGCGAGGCGGCCACTCGAGACTTGGGCTGCTGACATATGCCGTTTTTACGGATGCTGTCAAACACCAGTAGCTTGTTGATGCTTTCGAAAGCCAATTCAACATGAGTTGAGATTGAGGACGCATGTCCTACTTCGTGAAGCAGATCTCGTTGCAGGACCTGGCAGGCGCCAGCATGATGCCCGACCGTCGCTTTTTCGGAATCATGGGCCGGGTCTCCAAAACCAATGAATGGCTTCGGCCCCAGCTTCTGGGCCGCGTCGTGATCTTCAACGCTCCAAGCTGGGCGAAGCTCGCCTTTCGGATCGCCTCCAACTTCATTAGCCAGAAGACGCTCTCCAAAGTGTGGATCCATCGCCAGACGCCACTGAGCTTCAGAGACACCGGCGGAAGTAGGAGACATAGGAGACATGCCGAAAATCCGAGTCGAGACCAAGGCCCCTATCGAGCCAAACCAGTGGTGCTCATAGGGCCAGTGGAGCCTGCTGAGAGGGTGTGATTTGTGGCGCCTAGGGAGCTTTCATGTCCCTATCCAAGGCCCAGTGGTGCTTTGTGCCCTTATGGAGCGCGCCTGCTGAGGGTGGAGTCTCTTCCAACGAATCTGGGCGGGCTTTGCACTTGCGATGGGCGAGGGTGTGTGGGCGGTCGGCCCAACGCATCGCTGGAGAAGCCCATGCCAGAGGACAGCTTCAACCCGTAGTCACATTGTCAGTGCACAATGTCTTGAACTCTTCGGGGCCAACTTGCCTTGTTGCAGGGCCTTCCAGGCCCCGAGTCTTCCAGGGCCTTGTTCGACTCGATTCCGCGTCGCGAGTGCGAGGAGATTCCGAGCTCCCTTTCGGAGCTCGTGGCCCTGCGACGGCTTCCCTGTGGTGACGACCTTCCTTTGGGAACCGCCGGAACCGGCCATACGGCGCCGCAAGCGGTTGAGGCTCAGCCGTGCGAGCCAACGGCAGAGCCATGGTGCCGAAGGTGTTGTAAGAGGCGAAGGCCCTCGGGGCCCTTGGCAGCAAGTGCAGATCACGTGTGAAGGGCTTCGAAGGAAATATAGTAGCAACCGTTTATTACCGTGAATCATGATCCATCAGCTGCTTTGAAAGCCTGACATGTACTGTATCATCATTGACATGCCCGTCGAAACATCCGTCGACACTTTTGAAATATGCGGCGGAGAAAAGGACAAAACAGCCGTGAGCATCCTTGAACACATTCTGGATCAGATATGCTTTGGGTTCCTCAACGAGGCTCGATTCAGCAATCATCATCAATCCCCTTGTCTAATTGATCTTTTGTGGCATGTTCGCTGCACACACCTGTCTCTCTCAATACGACAGATTTGAGTCTTGAGAAAAAGGGTCCTTGGTCTTTGGTGTTTCTATGTGTTTCTCAAGTCTGGCGTCTTTGGTTGAACCGTCCTTTGACTGCTGGTATTTCCTGCTCAATGCATGCTGGCAGAGGGGATCAGAGTTCAGCAAACCGGCATCATGGAAAGTAGCGCCTTGCCTGAGAATATGTTTTGTGTATATATATAATATATATATATATTTCTGTGTATGTTTTGCCATTGGCAAGCCTAGCTTGGCAGCCGAACAAAGCACCGCACTGCACTGGTTGCCGAGGCCCAGTGGAAGAAATGAAGCCTGAAAGCTCCAGCGAGCCCTTGCTGGACATCTGACTCGACGCATCGCAGCTTTCGCGGCTCGTGACCTTGACCTATCTAAAACTAAGCAGGCTTCAGTGAACATACTTTGGATCAAAGTCATTTGGGTTGTCCTATTGAATGCCGACACCTCCGCAGAGCCTGCAGGATGGAGGGTCTGACAGCCAAATTCCAGGACCCAGAAACGGTGAGTCGCGGTGAGCATTCTCTTGAACTAATGACATGAAGACATGCCCAAGCTCATGTGCTTTCCATGAGTTCATGTGGGAGATGGAACCGCTGCAGGTCCAATGGCCTATGGCCAATGGCCTAATAGACATGTGTGTCCGGAAGAATCTTCACTCCTCTTGGATGAACGCCTCAGACGTCTTGGTCGTCCCAGGAACAAGTGTGACTCCCTGGCTGCTGCGTCGTGGTCGTCAGCCAGGAGTGGAGGAGCCGAGGCCGGAGACGGGCTGGTCACAGAGTTCGTGAAGCCGGGCGGATCTCGCACTTGAAGCATGGGAGGAAAACCCATATCATTTGGTTGATCACACAAAATCATGCAAGTCTCAGATGGCAATATAAATATATACATACATACATACATACATACATACATACACAAACTAGATTATATTGGAACGTTCGTGGGCCTCGGCCTTGAGTCGCTGCAGGAAGCCGGATGCCACAAAACCTGAGGTGGGCTTCTCGAACATGAGACAGTGTGGGAGCTTGCGCTGAGATCCTCTGCAACTCAAATTCTCTTATAGCGGTGGACGGGAACCAACAGCGATGGCCTCCAACCCAGAAGCAATGGCCTCCAACTTACTAGTGATGGCCTCCAACCTACTAGCGATGGATTCCAACCTATATAATAGCGATGGCCTCCAACTCACTCACGAAAGATTTCAAGACAGCTTGTGAAGCTTGATGTCAGGAGGCCCTCGAGGCGGGTGTACAGGCACATCACTCCGTGCAGCCTGATAAATCATGTCAAACACTGCATCTTTTTCTTGCCAAGTACTGTAAGCCCGGAAGCGCTTTGCAATTCATCCATTACTTTGCGCCAGGGATTGCATGAGATTGCAAGTTTTATGCCCGTGGTTTCTAGCAGAATTGCAGAACACCGTTTCTGATGCTGCCCCTGTTTTGACTGCAGATTCTGCCAGAGATGGGAGCAGCTGTTGCCGGGAGCAACTTGGTAGCCATTGGTACGCCGGTTTCAACTTTCCTATTGGTTCAGGAGATCAAGCTGATTGTACTTATTATATAATGTGCACGATGTTTTTCGAGTCGTGCACTGTCCCAATCGGCCCCTGTCAAAGCACAGGTCGCCCCAGCGAAATGGCCGACCGCAGTGCTGCTTGGACTGATGAGAAAAGCCATAGGTTGTCATTGCAATAATTCTGCTGGACTATCACGGCCGCGGCTTGCGTACTACCGAGAAAAACGAGATAAACAACGGTTTCAGAATCTATTCTAATCGCACCACATTTCTACCCGTGCAAAAAACCAGATGACTGATTTCTACTCGTTTTCACGAGGGTCGTTTCAAGTGTTTTTTTGTTTTTTTTCTGATGAGGGTTGGCACCAATTTCGACTCCTTCAAGCGGGGATACCTTCAAGCTCCATCTTTGTGGGCTCGTGGGCAGTTGGAAATTTGAATGTGGGCAGTCAGTAGGAGGGTTTCTTGGAGGGTGGCGCCTGTGCGCCTCAGACAGATGCAACCCGCCAACATGCTCCTCTTCCTCACATTTCTTGTAAGAAACACTCAGCAGCAACTATATAGTAAGAAGCGAAACTCTTTTTTGGTGTGTGGATTCCAGCCTTGCAGCTAGGACGTTTCTTTTGGCCCTTGAGCTCTTGCCCTGGCCTAGGTGTTTACCAGGATGGTGGAACATAGCAACTCCGAGGACCTTTGGTTTGCTGGGGCACCTCTTTTTTCAATCCATCAACATGCGTTGAAACAGCTTGACCAGTGATGCGCATGCCATGGAGTTCAACGCGTTTTGGCCAGGAGCTGCGCTGGTGCCTTCTGGGTGCTGTGATTTTCTTGTTGGCCTTTGCTTTGTTGGGCGTGGTTTCAAGAAGTGTACCTTGGCAGCCTTAGCCGGGCAAAGCTGATCATAGCTGCCATGCTGGACTCAGTTCTCAACATTTCCATGAATTGACTCAGTTGTGCAGCTTGGCCATAGCTGCCAGGGTAGAAAAAGGTGTGGTTCGGTGTAATTCTCGGGCTTCAGCTCGTTTGGCGAACAGCCCGGTTTGGCTTCTCGGCTCGTTCGACACACTTCGAATTTCCACAGGACGCGACTTCAAAACCCACCGAGGTGCCAGTTCATCGGCTGAGCAAGGTGGCGGATTTGCATCACGCAGTTGCGGAGTTGCATTGGCAATCTTTGGGTGCCAAAACCGTTTCAGTGACAGAATTGCCAAAGTCTACACTTTTGTGAGGACTTGGCGTTGTTGTGTTGGTGATTTGAGGTCACTCATGGTGGACCTGTGATGCTTGGACGCGTTTATTGAGTAGATTGATGGCCCCAAGGTCTTATAATAAGACCTTGTGCCATCTCAAAATATTATAGCCATTGGAATGCATGTTGGCAAAGGAGCTGTGACGGCGTGACATGTGAAACACTTGGTAACATTACCAAATCTTCACCTGCCACACACTTCCTGCCACTAACAGTGGACACTGACCATGTTTGGTAGGAGACTATCTTTCCAACATTTTTCACTCCCTCGTTCACACCCAAACAATCCAGCCAGGGTATTCACGGTATTCAAAGGATGATCGCTTCGAGCCGCATTCGTTACTATGTCAACCGACCATCCGCTCGCTGCGATGTTGCTTTCCACATGCCCGCCGAGGCATGTGGCGTCCGCCAGGCCTCCTATGTTTGACCAGTGTCTTGGAGCACTGCCCGTGTGGTCTCAGACAGACACAATCAACTGAGCAAGAATTGGAGGGTCTGACAACAGCATGCTTTTAATCATGCGGATGCTGCTGACAGCATGCAAGGATCTTTAATTCTCGGTCTTGGTGCCCAGGCCAGATTGCTTCAGTGAGAACCGGCAACTGTGGGAGCCAGCCAAGAAGATCTGGTGCTGTCGCGAAGCCTCTCAGCACAAGCCAGTACCAAACTATAGCCCACAGAAAGACAGTTGTGGGTAGCCAAATGGGCAACAAGTCAAGTGGATGTGTCACACTCAGGTGAGTGTTCTCAAAAGACCAGTTGTTTCAATATCGAGGTGACTGGTTTTAGGCTGTTTGTTGGCAACAATATCCCTGCCAGTGTCCTTTGCCTGGCCAAACTAAAGGCATCACATAGGACATCTTGGTGAGTTGGCCCTGTGCCCACTCCCGTAGGTAGCATAGAATTTCTGCTTTCAAACCTTCTTTGGGTCGTGCGCTGATATTGATTGATCACTGGGGCTGAGGCCGGCATTGGGTGCTCCTTGACCTCCATGCCTTTCAATTGCCATGAAAACTTGGCGAACTTTCGGCTTGAGTGGTCGCAAGAGAAGCAGGAATGGATCCTTGGCTTTCAACAGCAGTACTGCAAGTGTATCAGCAGTGAAAGGTTTTGAACGTTTGCGTCTTTTCTGAAAGCTTTATTTGAACTCATGGATTGACAGATATTTGCATGGCAGAGATGCAGTGCGTGTATGCAGTTGGTATCTGCGTCTACGCACTTTCGTCCTCAGGTGCTGTGCCGCTGCACAGGTCGCTTGTGGCTGATAGGCATGGGCCACCATGGGTCGATACCATGCTCGCCGCGCTAGCATTGTAGCTACATGATTTCCATGTTTGCTTTCCCTCATTTCCCACATTGACAACTTTGCACTCGCGCGGTGCTTTCCTGTGGTTGCACCTCAGGTGCTGGCTCTCCAGGCGAGGCAATTGAAGCCTTAAGCCAGAAAGCTTTCAGGAGGGGCAGCTTCCAAAGGATAAAGCGTGAACTACCAACTGAGCTGACTCCTTTTGAAGTAGCATGAAGTACTATGCGACATTTCAACTCCCAAGAAGCCAACGTCAGACCGATCGTCAGGACTCAACTCCTTCTTCCTGACTTCGTGGCGCCGAACCATTTCACTGATTAAGACATTGCGCAAGAGGACAAATGAAACATCTCTGGATTTCAACCGTTTTGACATCGTGTGCTCAAGGTTCGTATGCTCAAGGTTTGGTCGTTAAATGAACTCTGAGTCAACTTGATTTTGCTGATGTAAATTGTTATGTTCTGCAATACCTGTAATGCAGGATGTAAAGACCGCAAATTGTCCTCCGCCAAATGCACATGTCTTTGGCATCGCCAAGACTCGTACGCGCGCAGACCAGCGTGGTCCGTGCACCGACCGAGCACGGAAGACTGTAATTCACGCAACTCATCTTTCGGTGAGATGCGGCTGTTGGAAGGTTAACTTTGCAATGCAACTTCCAGCAGAATTGTTCAGGGAAAGCAGAAGTTGGAAGACTGATCTGAGTCCTGCAACATCCTGTAACTCAACTCATTCGGAAAATGCCCTTGAGAAAAGGGAGCTGATGCTCCTGGACTGCTTTCCCTCAAAGTGCCGACTCCTTTGAAGCTTGAGGACTTGACCACATGAGCCAAGCGATTCCAGGTAAAGAAAGCTCTGCAAACAGGGGGGTTCCAGTCGGAGTGTCCGCATTTCTATACCGTCTATGAATAAAACAGATCCCGTTTCGTGAGGGGGTTGGGCTGCAAAGGGGACAGATGAGATAGACCGGTCAGCGTAAGATTGCCACGTAAGATACGTAAGAATAAGCGACAGGAAGCTACTAGTAGCAAAGACACGGAAAGGCTGTGTTCTTCAAAGAACCTCTTCTACCATTTGGGCTTTTGCAGGGACACACACACACACACATATATAATATTATATAATTATATATATAAATACTATATATATATATTTTTTTGCACATATGCAGCACATGCATTTTGACGAAGAGTTGAATCCTAATGTGCGGTGCTGAAATAGCCCACGCTTGACAATGCAACGCCTCCAAAAGCGTGTCAACGCAGTGCTAGCCTTGCCAGCTGAGGCCGTGGAAGTTGGTAACGGTCACGGCCAGGTTTGGGGATGCCGTGGAGTGCTGTCATGATGGCAGTGTGGGTGGTGCTTAGTGCTAATGGAGCAGGTGATGCCTATGATACTACGGTATAATTAGGTGTATTTTGGGAGGCTGGCTAGGACCAAGAGTCTGCAATTTATGTCTCATATGCTTTGATGAATATGATGAACTCCCTTTTCTCGAAAGTTCACACTCATTGATTGACGGAGGATTTTCTCTTGCAGTAGAGTTTGCAGCAAGATTGCTTGGTCATCAAGGTGCCCCTCATGCAAGTCGACAAGTGGTATCAGTTTCCTGGGTGATTCGTGCTTAAGGTTTTGTGTTGACAAAGTGTGAAAAATACACCCCGAGAAACCACAGCTTTACAAACGACAGTTGCATTATCCTTGTCAATGCCATCACCGTGTGAATTTATGAGACAATCTCTGTATAATCATTTGCTATGATTCTCTTTGTTTGCCTCTTGTATGCATGGCACTATCGAGATTGAAGATGTAGATGAAATGATCCCACTGCACCATCCGTTTGCGGCACGCTGCATGGTATTTCAAAGCATTAGGAGGTTGCATTACCAAACAATTGCATGACATTGCAGCTTGCATTATGTTACGCTGGATGCATCGACAGAGGCACACAAACGGATTTACTGACTTGAAATTGTTCCAGTAGTTTGCCCAACTCATGTCCGGATGCATGCTTATTGCACATGCACGAAGCAATGCACATTGATCGGGTAAATTTGCAGCATGGTTCTCACAAGTTCAGAAAGGGTTACCACCGATTATTACCCGAACTACTTGTGTAGTTCTGCTCAGCTTTGGCAATCGACCAGCAGTGTGCAAGTTTCTAGACACAGGTCCTGTGGGCCTATGCCATGCTGCTTTTCTGCGCCAAGGACGGAAGTGACGACTATGGCAATTGTGCTGGCTACTACAAGCCGGACCCGGACGGTCGCCTTTTGAACGGCCACCTCGCATACAGGAACGACGAAAAGAGCCGCTTTCTTGGGAGAACAGCTGCAGGCTCTTGGATTCTCGGTCCTCTTTCAGATTTGCCTGGACACTTGGATACTCAACAAAGTCATTTTGGTGGATTCCACAGCACGTCCCTGAGCCCGGCCAGCGAAGATGCATGGGATAGATATGCCGTGCATCAGCTTCAAGAGGTGGAAGTCTTGACCAAAGAAGGGGAAACCGATTATGCAGATTGCAGTGGCAGATATCTAGAACTTGCCGAAAAGACACTCAACCACAAGCCAGTGTACGTTAACCATTCCCGCTCCCGTGTGCTCGCATCCACAGAGAGAGGGTGGGTAATTTTCAGTGCGGAATTCTTAGATGAGTTTTTGGATACTCAGCCCAATTCATTCGGCGGATTTCATAGCACACCTGAGTCCGAACCAGTCGCAGGTTGGGAAAGGTACGTCGTGCGGTTCTTGCACGGCGCCCTGCCTGCGACAGGTTGGGAGAAGCTGCTTAACACCAAAGTCTCCTTTCAGGCTGTGTCCAATTCGGGGGTGTGCCGCTCAGGGCAAGACTTCGAAGACAACAAGAAGAAGTGCCTTCAGTTGGATTGTGGCGGGTTCGCATGGCGAAAACCTCGCTTCAATCAGTTTGGTGAGGAGGAGGATCCCCCTGTGTGCTTCTTCTACCGCAGGACGCAGGGCCAGTTGAAAGAGGCCGCGGTGGAAAGCAAAGACTTTGACTTCTACTTGGCACCGGCCCATCATTGCCCAGACTGTTCTTTCAAGCCCGGGCGGGATCCTGCTCCGTCATGCCATGTCAGATGGGTGGAGAAAAAGGTGCATGCATTTGCATGCCAGGTTCTTGTAAATGAGCCTTCGCCATGTACCTACTATATGACTTGTGGCTTTCATTGTGGATATTGTGGTATTCAGCAGCATGATGGCCTCAAGCAGCAGGTCTTGTTTTCCCTGTGGAACCATCCACAGGCTCAGAAGGTGCAAAATCTTTGGGTCGCGCCGGGCGTTTTCGCTGAACCCTTTGGGGGCGAAGGCATGGGCGTTGGTGCATACTCCGTCACCGGCACTGGGGAGACCACTGATTCCTCCGTCGCTGCTTGGAGCGCTGGAGTTCCTTACACCTTCCTGGTACGCTCCAAAGCCGTCTCTGCAGGCTCCGAGATCAGCTGTAGCTTTTACAAGCCGGAGGGCTGGGTGGACCTGGCGCGACACTGGCGTCCGGAGCCGGAGGAGGAGCGAGGCCAGCTGCGTGGGCTTTATAGTTTCATTGAGGATTTCGCAGGGAATTCTCTGCGGCGTTCAGCTTGCTTCTCTGCTTGGGTGCAAGACACTCCCGAGAGCTCCTGGCGCCCCGTGAGAAAGGTGGAAGGCACCAGTACGGCCGAGCGGGACGTGCCCAACAAGTGCGTGAGAAGGAGGTGCAGTGATGTGGGCGACTTGGTGGAAATGATCAGTGGAGGAGATGCCTTGGATGATTACTCCCTGTGTTGTGGGGAGATAGAGGGTTGCCCTGTGCCTCGCGAGCTCTTGGGACCTTGATGGCCATTGATGGCTTGCAGAGCTGCGGCGTAGCTGGAACCACAAGTTACATAACACTTGGCAGTCTGGCTTCAGGCTAGCCATGGTTGACACCGCCTTTCCCCCGAAAAGTCTATGCTCCAGAGGGTTGATGCTGCCAGGTTTGGACAAGGGTGCACAGAGAGTCAATCCACCAAAAGCTTGTTGAGCAATGCGCTTGTTGAAACCCTTGGAACCAACCATCGAAAATGGATAGGTCATGATAGGTCCAGGTTCAGCTTCAGCAATCCGGCCTGTCTGTACCGTATCAGTACAAGACAGTGGCATTCTGGAAGCTCCATCAAGACCTACAGTAAGGCCCGGGTTTGATCCTTCATCCTTCATCCAGGTAGAACCCGCCGGGTTTGGATGCAGCAATTCAGCATATATTCTCTTTCAACAATCAACCAACGCTGGTGCGAGCCAGGTAGAATTGCAACGCATTGCAAGCTTGGATGTGTCGCCGATGCACTGAAGATGTCCTGCCCGGTGCCCATTTGACTGAAAAACATCGGCGGGGGACTGATTTCTGCAACGATCATGATTTCCTGATGAGTTTATAGCATGTCAAGAGAACCTTTCGCTGAGTCACATGGTTTCCTCGTTTCCTTTTTCTAGCAAAGTGAATGACGATCACCCCAACCAAAACCAATGTAGCTTGACATGGGCTTCATTCTCGCAAACGAGGATCCTGCCGTTCTTGCGGTTCCTCCGCAGCACGGACGCTGAAGGAAAAAATTGCTCGGCATTGTGGTGGCATATATAACCACCCCATAACTCCACGTCAGAATCGCTGTTAGTCCTCGTGACTCGTCCTTCAGCTTCATGTCAGCCTGAAACTTTCATCAGTTGTCATGAAACGCAGCGAACTTCGTTCGTTCGTTCGTTCGTTCGTCCGCGACCCAACTTGACAGCCTTGGCAACTCATGAATTCAAAGCATCAACTTTTCCACCATACTTGCCTGTGTGCTTTGTATGGCTCAAGTAGTGCCGTCAAAAACTGACGGTAATACCGTTTTTGGTCCAGCACAGCGTGCTCAGCTGTTGATCATATCGGGCCAAGTTGGAGAGTTGATAGAATTTCAGCTGTTGTCCAGTGCTTTCATCCTCTTCGAGCAGCCCTCATTTCACTGCCTTACCATACCATGCCAACCATGCCAACCGGTGTTGTTTTTCGAAGAAAGGGCAGCTCGTCGGAGCGAGCATGCTCGTCCACGAAGTGGTGTGAGCATCTGAAAGATCTCACACTCTGCGGTGGAGAGGGTGGATTGTGGCCGTTGATCAGGAAGAACGAGAGTTCTGAAAGTGCACTGACTCATCATGACTCATCACGCAGCCTTCCAGGGACAACTCTGAGGTTGGGTTTTCAACTGAGGGGTGTAGCTTGGTGGTTGGAGCTTCTCAAGCCGGCCCACCTCTCCACTGCATGAATGTTTGAGGGTCTCCAACCCACTGCGCCCAATGCTTAGATAAAGCTCAGGTGCAACATTCGTTTGGAATACATAGATTCATTGAGGAGTTGGTCTAAATCCCCGTGGGAGGAGTTATAGATAATACAGCCATTCCATCATGGAACTAAGAAGATTGATGAACCACCATTTATATAGATTCTTTCATTTGGAAAACAAACAGATCAACGACTGAGGCTATGGGCAGCTGTGCCGGGGTACAGCTAGCAGAGCGGCCGGCCTTCTACCAGCAGTGCAGCACCCAAACCTGTGAGTTGCCATCGGGAAAGCAGGTTTCGCGATGGCCTCCACCTACTAGCGATGGCCTCCAACCTAAGAGCGATGGCCTCCAACCTAATAGCAAACTACCTTGGTCGTTCCAAAGGTAGCTTGCCCGAGAATCCACCTTCATAATGTATGCCCCAAGATCTCCGTACTGGGACAAGGCCAAAAGCCTTAAAGACTCCAAAAGTATTGTAGGGATAGATAGACGATGGATCTAGACTAGACTCGACTTGAAATGGCAATGCTGAAGGCCTTCAAAGGCCCCTTGCATTAGCTTCAGTAGCTCAGATTATGGTAGTTCCTGTAGGGGGGCTGTCACTTGCTCATGCTGAGGTTCATCCTGCAAGAAAAAATTGGTCAGGCACCGGGATTTGTGGCTTAAACCCTTGCAAATTGACACAGTGCAACATACATCGACGATGTTGTTTCAAGAAATGACCGGACACACTTTTTTGAATATGGTGGGCTGTGTGCACAATTCTGCACTAGTTAGTCTTGGGAACAATATTTTGCTGCTGTACCGATCTTTGTCAGCACACTGTCGGCAGGGCTCCTATGGCAAAGTCTATTTGGCCAAGGATGATCCTTTAGAATCTTTCGGTCATTTTCCTGCAGCAGTTCAAACCACTACTAGTTCAGCAGAACTACTGCGCATCATCTGCGGTCGAGAAACCCAGCTCGCCGCGAGCCGAGCTGCGCACAGCGAGGACAAGCGGAATGACAAGGTCTCTGCGGTCAAAGTCCAAGCTGCGCAGTTTGGTAGAGAGTCGCCCCGGCCACGTTTGGGCTGCGCTGGTCGGTGGTTTTGGTTTCCGTCGTTTGTCGTTGGCGACCACGTTGTTCTGGTCGAATTTCTTTGCCACTTCCTGGGTGATTGTTCTATTCTTCTGTATCACTTTGCAGTTGCCAGGTGGGTAATTCTGGATGAGGTCTTTGTTTGGAGAGCGTTGGGTCAGCAGCTGAGACCTTTGCTCTGTGAGACCAGAGCTCCAGCGTCGTAAAGTGACGGCTGTCCACGATGGGGAAGGCCGTCATCCCAATGTAGTATGGTTTCACGACTTGCGGCGGCCTCAGACGCATTGGGCAAAGCCAACGACGGAGGGTGAAACATCCCATGAAAGGATGCATCAGTTTAACGGGCAGCAAACGTGAGGCGTCAGGAAGCAAACGTGTTCTTTATTCTCATGGAAGTTTGCCCTCGAGCTCTGCACAGACCTTAGCGCTGTATCCCAGGCTTCCGACATTCCCCATCAATCTTCAATTGTATTCAATTGAGCTGTTGCATGGCACAGGTCGGATAGAGTGATGTCCGCACCAAAGTGGACAGCTACAGAGCTCATGTCATGTCCTCAGCCTGTCCAAGTTTGTTTGATTGACTACTTTTTTGGTCCCACTCAGCACGCTGGATTTGAGGCATGATTTTCAGCAAGCCTTGTTCCGGGCTCGGTATTCTGTTTCGACTGGACCTGATCATGATTGCATCTCAAATGCTGCTGCTATTTATTCACTTTGAGGCTGGGTGTTCAACACATGCACAGCAGGAGGAGCGCATTGTCGGAAAGGGTTGACGGTTGCCGTGTCAGCAGTTTGTGCATGGTGGCTTCAATGCTTCCAAATGAGTTTCTCCATGGTAGGTCCTGTGGCGGTGCCGTGACTGTGCTGTGATTGCAGGATTGTTCATCGGGATATCAAGGCCAGTTCGATGGAACCTCCAGCTACGTGTAGACGAAGAGGGGCCCATCGAGAGAACTGACGTCGATCGACTGAAACAGGTGCAGAACTTTCTGTATGGTGGCTCCGATGGGAGGCCAGCAGCACTGTCATTGGGACATGTCGTCGATGTGATTTCACGACGCACCCTGCAGGACGTTGAAGTTAGCGGACTTTGGTCTCTCCGTGGAGATTCACCCAGGGGAGAAGCTGGAAGCAGTTTGGGAACCCATTTGCACTTTGAGTGGTGGTGACGGGTGGTGTTTTTGAGGCGACTGCTGCGATGTGGCCATTTGAAGGTTTGCGGCTCACCTGCTTTCATGGCGCCAGAGATGGTGCTGAGACAAGGCTATGACTTTAAGGCTGCCTGCGTGAAATGTTTCTTTTCAGATTGCATGTTGGCCGTGCCTGTGACAAGACTAGTGTTTTTATACTGAAGAGAGAATGTGTCCGTCCAGTCTATGTTTTGTGATATTTGAATGAGGGTGCCCTTAGCCTATAGTCTATGACATGCCATGCGGGAAGCTTTGACGTTTGTGTTGTCATATCTCCCTTTGGTGCAGATTGACATGTGGAGCATGGGGGTGACATTCTTCATGGTCATGCATGGGACACTCCTCGTCGGGTGGCTCAGTTTTGCTAGCAGATCTGGGCTTTGGCGAGCTTTGTTGAAGCGGGTTCAGATAATGTATAGTAGACTCAGTACACTCTAGATTAATACACCCACCTGAATTGGATTGAAAAACCAATTCCGCGGGTTTATTAATCAAGCGTCTACATTACTAGATCGCCTGAGGTTGGAAAGCCAAAGATGAGTGTGAGTGCCGCTTGGATGCAGGGTATTGCACACTCCTCACCGAGCAGCCGAAACCTGGGTCCAAGACTCGTCGTCAGATGTCTCAACAGCGTTTGGTTGGTGTGCCATTTGTTTACATGAAGGAGATGAAAGAAGCGATCAAAAGCCCGACTGCGACAAAATCATCCATGATGAACGCAGTGATGAAGGCTCGTTGGAAGTGGGTGCTAAGGCAGCCCTTTTTCAATCAACCAGCCATGAGAGCTACACAAGCTCGTACGCGGAATGGTCTTGAAACAATGCGTGTTTTTATGGTACTGTCATGCATACATGATCATCGTACATGTGCACTAGACGTGCTGCATTTTCCTTGGCGGAGAAGTCACAGCCTTGTAATGAAGCATTTGCCGTCCTGGCGCGTGGACGATGAAGTCCTGCTACGAACTGCTGGCTTGTGGCCACGGCATGGCTGTGCCAGGCAGAAGCTTTCACCGGAGAAGTGAAAGATCTAAAGATGGCTGCTTTGGAGCCCAGTTTTCAGATAGCCCAGCCTGTCGAAGCAAGGTGCGCACTTTTGGAGACATATCAAGATGGGAGAACCTAAGAACGAACAGCAATCTCCAAACACAAAAAGGTTAAAAATAACCGCATCCCAAAACCCAAACCCAAAAAGGTGCATTTCTCCACCTTAGCATTTCTCAAGGCCTTGGACGTGGTGCGGCAGCTGTTGGGGGGCTCAGCGTTTCTACAGCTAAAGCCACCGAAGGGTCCGCGATTTCTTAAAGACCAGCATTCATTGTCCAGTGTATATCACGTGCAGTGTCCCATTATCATTAACAGGCTTCTTCTCTCCTGGTCCAAATGCGTTTTCTATCCAAATGCAAGTACAAGAAACGCGACATGAAAGTACAATCTTGCACCATGTTGCACCCTTGGTCCACGGTCCCGTTGAATTGGTGTGTTTTGGGATGCATTCTCATGAAATCACCAAGCATTCCAGTGATTGTTTTTTGTGTCATGCTTTAAGGGCAAAATCAGGTTTCAGACACCAGGTTTCACACGACGTCACATTGCAGTCCGAAAATTGTAAGTCCACTGCGGACAAGAGTTTAGGAAGGCCACATTTGAAAAGGAACTCATCTCTATCTCATCAGCCTCATCAGCGCTATCAACTTCATCTTGCTAGCAATGACAGGCTGATGAGCAATGATTCCGGCCAACTCCAAACACCGGCCCACCCCGCGTACCGTACATGCCAAAGTGACTTGATGCCTGATGCAACATTGATATCAATGAACAGATTCTTTGAAGACCGCTCTGCCCGCCTACATAGCGATGGCCTGATGGCCTCCACCCGAGTAGCGATGGCCTCCAATGCAATTGCGATGGCCCCACCCAAGTACCGATGGCCTCCCCACCCCAATTGCGATGGCCTCCTAACCTTTTTCTTTGGTGGGGAAAAGCTCAAAATCCTCAGAATCTGAGGGAACCTTGAGCAGGAGACATGAGCAAAAAGAAGCTCCACCCGTTTCCGACGCGCTTCCGCCTTCAGGACCGTGCGCGACCCACTGCAGCGCGTGGGTCCCGAAGCGGCGTTGGGAGCCCTGAGATTCAGAAAGCGCCTCTGAACGGTGACGGATGGGGAGTTCCAAATCCGCATCCATGGAGAGGTTCAATTGGAAACATGCAAATGGGTTGTGTGTTGGAGGTTCAATTTAGCACGATTTAGCACGGCTTAGCTAATCCACTGTCCGGGGTGTGACAGCCACATCCACCTCCAAGGTTAGAACTTCAGTTTTTGCAGCTGAATACTCGCTCCACCTGGGAGCAGAAACTCCGCTTTGAGCAGGCGCGACATGTGCGGGCGATGCTCCATGGTTCGTGTAATGTACGAACGATCCCATACATTTGGCAACGACCTCGCGACTGCCAAAGGCGCTTTTAACATGAACTGAAGATGACTCGAGATATCCAACCTCACTCTCCTTCTGGCTTTCTTGACCCGTCCTTTTTTTGGTGTTTGGGCAGCCGCGACCATGCAGGTCTTGCTTGTGGACAGGCCTGCCGCAAAGAAAAAGGCCAGCAAGTGGATGCACGTAGAACCCTAGAATCACCCGGACATGTGGGACGCTCTTGGAGCTCCTACCCGGTCCGGTGCTGATTGTTTGACCTCACAGCCTGCTGAAGGGCCCGAGTTTGGTCCTTAATTGCAATGCCGCTGCCTGAAAGCTACTTGTTCGCCGGGGCCAGGCAGTCACAGAGCCGGGCCACGTTGTTGCAGGCCTGATCAAGCTGAGTAGCCTATCAGATTTGATACCAGATATGCCAGTGCTTGATATTGCCTTTCCATTTCGTGACGTTGAGGTAGTGAGGGTTTGAAACATGCTGGTTGGCTGGGAGGTATCCAGAACACTCCAAGTTTTGCGTTGAGAACTGCAAGAGTATACTACTGTAATACTCGAGCATACTTCAGTGTAAATACACGATTTACGCGGAATGTATGCATGACCCCTCTACATTTGGCAGCGCAGACGTGCGACGGCACAATGCACTGAATGGACATACTGTAATATGTGCGTGTGGGAAATGCATGTGCATGTCCAGTGTATTTGTGCATGATGTTTGCATGATTTCCTAGTCCGTGTATGAGCATGTTGATTGACCATAGATTGTACTACTTGAGTATGTCAGAGGCTGGTAGGACATTCTACGTGAAGCAAGGTTTGCATGGACTGGATGCTGTATTTATGGACACTTGTCACTTGCTAAGCCTCTAAGCAATACACAGGTCATTCGCGCGTTGCTTTGTGAGGCAAAGCTTCACAAGAGAAGCCCAAGACGGATTTCTCTCCGGTGCGCAGCCCAGAGACATGCATGGGTAGAGAATCAGGGAATGAGGTGCCAGTACTCTCAGCCCCTACTCAGCGCCAGCCAACTGCAACTCAAGCGTTGGCCTAGGACCTAGGAGCAGAGTGGCCCCCAAATGGATAGAAAAGTAAAAATCCCTTTCAACATGTATTGGACACCATTTCTATCTATTTGGGGGCCGCCATATAGAATTCAAAAGCACAAAGATCGGGTTACGGCATCTCATGTCTTTCCGGTTTCGGCTCAATGCCGTTGTCAGCGATGCCGTTTCGACTCACAAACGAGCTCAAGGGCTAGAACCATCAAACTAGCCGCTGCGCACATCAAACTTAACCATTGAACCCTTTGCATGTTGAATCCAGTCTTACTATAATTTTCGAATGCAGACGGGGCATTTGCACATCCAACATCTCCCAAAAGGAGCTGAGCAGCTTGAAAGGTTCGGAGATCGGTTTTGGCCTTCAGGTTGTGCCACAAGCCCAGCAAAATGAGCCTGACTCGTGACTTGGAGCAAATCTTTGAAAGAAAAGACCTTGACAATACAGACAAGATGGGGCACAATTTGCTCCTGTCAATTCAAGAACCCTTGCCGCTGCGATTGGGGAAAGTGAATTATTCAAGCAAGCAGTGTGCGCATCAATGAGGCTTCCAGCCAGATGCTCAGCCTCCGTCTTTCTCGCTATACATCGCAGGTGCCACTGGCTTCCAGTGGTTCTTGTGGTGTAGGTCATGCATTAGCCAGCGGCCGCTAGCTAGTGAGTACAGCGATTGGTACGACTTAGTACGACCATGTACGACCGATGGTGCCCACCTTCGTTCTTTTTGTTCGTGCGCCAAGCCTCGATTGCCTGGCAGCCTTGTGCTCGTGCTCGAGGCGCTCGATGTTTCACACCAGTCTCGCGCTGAGGATCGTGGAAGCGGTGTGCCCAGCCCCTCAGGCCTGGATCCTCCCATTTTCATCCATTTTCCATTTCCCGCCGACCCGTGGAGCCGACGGTGGAGGCGGTACAGGCACCAAGATGAAGAGCAAGTCCTTGTTGGACCCCAATCAAAGTTGGGCACCTCAGAGAGTGAGTGCCCACGACTGGGAAGGCTGCCAGGTTTGGCTTTTGAGCGCCTGGATCGCCAAGGCTCCGTGGAGCGTCGTCCATCCGATCGACTGGTCTTGCCGCAAGAGCTGGATTCCCCTAGACGAGCTGGAACAGCACTTAGAGCCGCAGATTGTGTTCCCTACTGTGTTCCCTGTCATGTCATAAGTCAAGATGCATGATCTTCTCGCCCAGGTGCAGGTACCCTTCCAGAGGGCTCCACCTCCTCCTTGAAGATTCAAAGATACAAAAGCCATGGCCTTGGAACACGACCAAAAAACCGGCGCCGCGCGACGCACCCGCTTCGCTCGAGCCGTTTCGGCCGAACCCGGACGTCGACTCAGCTCGGCAAAGCGAGGCCTTGGAGATATGGGAGGCGTCCCTTCGGAGTAGCGCTTCGGCACGTCGTGTCCGTTGGCGCGATGGAGGGGAGGAAAGACGCTGACACCCAACATCACCCAAACATGTTCTTTTTTCGAGCCGCGGCTGAGTAGTTTTTGGCCGTTCTTACAGCCGGTCGGAGTTCTACCTTCAACCATCGTTTTGGCTCCGATAGTTACAATGCGGGGCCATACAGCATCTTCTCAGATGGAAAAACAGTAGATTGCTGGCCTTGTTCAGATGCGTGTGATTTGATTCGCAGTGCAATCAAACTTTACCGCGGCACAACCTATGCCGTGCCAGAACATGAACCTGTTCACATTCAAAAATATTCAAACCATGACATTCATCCATTTTCAGCATCTTTGTTGTTTAGCTTGTGGAAGCTGAGACAATCATGAGCTCCACCACTTGCTATGGCCTGCCAGTGGCACGATGTCCTGTGTCTTCCAGGGTTGGTTGTGAAGGTCCTTCGCTTTGCAGGAACATGGGCGGGGCGAAGGATCATGCAATCCTCCCGGTGTGACCAGGAGCTGATCCACACGAGTGGCTTGAAGAAGTGGTCCGCCCTCCAGTCCAAAGTGCTGGTGGTTGGCGGTCACTTCGGGAGGGGACACGGTCCCCATGACCCCCTACCGACGGCCGAGCTCTTTGATCCCGAAAACCCCACCCGTTGGGAAACGCTGCCGGGGCCCAACATCGCCCGGAGCCATAGCACGGCGGCGGCGTTTGCTGGGAGTGTTTATGTGGTGGGTGGCCGTGATGCAAACGACTGCTCATTGAGCTCGGTCGAGTGTTTCGATACCAGCATCAGCTGTTGGCGAAGGATGCCCGCATTGAGTGGCCCACGGCATAGTGCAGCCGCTGTTTGCGTGGGTGGTTACCTGTTTGTGATGGGAGGCTTTGATGGACTGGAAGCGCTCGAGTCGGTCGAAAGCATGGATTCTGAAGCAGCATCTCCCACATGGCTGCCGAGCCAACCCCTTTCCTTTCCCCGTGGGAAGCATGCTGCGGTGTCGTTGCACAAGCATATCTTCCTGCTGGGCGGTATGGACGGAGGCTATCGATGTTTGTTCACCGCGGAGCGGGCGGAGCTCAACCGTTCCGACACTCCTACGGCTCCGTGGGCTGAACTGCCGCCGCTGCGCTTTGCGAGGAGCGAGTGCACTGCCTCCGCCGTCCAAGGTGCTGTGATTGTTCTGGGTGGCGTGGCGAATGGGTGGACGACCTTGTCAAATGCCGAGAGGTACCAGCCTTGCATCGGCCACTGGGAAGTCTTGTTGGAGATGAGTATCATCCGCAGAGACTGTGCCTCTGCGGCCGTGGCTGGTGAGCTTTATGTCATGGGTGGCATGTCCTTCGGGGGGCGATGCACATCAAAGGTTGAAAGCTTTCTTGGTACAAAGTGGCAAGATGCGACTCCTTTGCCTGAGCCACGCTGTGGTTGTTGTGCTGCCACTGTCAAGCTTTAAAGTGCATCCTTGCAGAACATGGTCAAATTCATCTTCGCTGCTTTTTGAGCAGTCTGGAAACTGGGCACTGGTGGCCAGCAAAACATGAGTGCCTTCAAAAGGAAAAGAATGAACCCGCACTGATGCTTGTTTTCTATTTGCCTCTTGAGCCCCTAGTGCTTTGCAGTTTTGGCCGTTGTTTTTTTCTGCATGACTACCGAGCTTGTGTAGGCCGGGCTCACAGACAGGCACGCCTAGTTGCTTGTTTCTGTTTTTTTTTGAATGTGCAGCCCACAGCGCTTTCGTGGAACCACTGGTAACATGCACCTAGCAGGCTCAGTTGGGCGCAGGAAGTTCAGAGCCATGGCCTCATCTCAGCCTTGAGGTCAGACATTGGAGTCATGTACACTCTTCTCCCATCTTCTCCATGTTTTCTTTCAGCTCCTGTGTTTCTTCACCCCCATCGTGCACATTGTGTAGGTTGGAATTCCTGGCTTTGGCTCAAAGCACATCATAAGCCTCACAAACCTGGCTGAGGTTGACTAGACCAACGCCCACCGAATCCTCACATCTTTTGGCCTTCTCTTCCACAAAAATAGACATAATAGCTCGGTCGTAACAATCGAGGTTTGCTAGGTCCAGCAGATTTTAGAGTGCGCATCCGGGCCCGCAGCACAGTGCTGTTTGCGGCAACTGGTGCAGGACCATGGCGCCTTGCCTAAATAAGTTTCATCATGGTTTGACCATGCAACTCAGCTTTTTGATAAATTGTTTTTTTTCCACAGTGATTAGCTTGCCTCGATCAGAGTTCAACAATGGCCGCTTTGCGGATGGGATGGACCATCGGGATTTTCAGGTGGACCAGATGATCAGCAGTCAGTTGGGCTCCCTGAACACTGCTGCCCCAGCGGGGCCAGTGTGGCGAGAACCGAAACAATTGGAGCAGATGAAGGACATGGAAGAGGGCAAAAAGGAGTCGGATGAGCTGGCGCCCATGTATGTCGAAGGGTGCTTGGACTGCAAAAAGTGGGCTTTGCAGATTTGAGAGCACGTGCATCAATGGAGAAGATTCTTGTTTTGGAAGTTGAGGCGAACAGTGCAACTGGACCATCAAACCTGGAGACAGCGAGCTCCAATGTTGGTGGGTGGTCTTCTTTTGCTTGGCCTGGTGGTTGTCCTGACGCAGATGCCGGGAGGAAACACTGGCACGCCAGGCAGTCAAGAGATGGTAGACACCAAGGGTGAGATGGGCATAGCTGCAGATGCTAGTGCTGGCCCCAGCCTGCTCACAGCTCTCCGTGCAGGAAAAATGCATTATTGTCTATATATGGAGATATGACGAATGAAACGGCAAGGCCGTAAGGCCCAAACAGGTGATGGTTGCACCAAGAGACAGTTGAGCGAGCGAGAGAGAGAGAGAGAGAGGGGCAGAGATCTCAGGCCCTGTCGTTCAGAATTTCAGCAGTGACGAGGGCCTCACCACCTCTATCCCTTCGGATGAGGATGATGAGGCAGTTGCGGCTATGACCCGAGAAAGGATGATGGAACATAGTGAAAGGGTGGATCGACTGCTGCAGATGTAGATTAGATGTGCTCAGGTGGGGGAGAACTCCAGTGCCAACTACACCGACACTGAGACTGAGAACAGCCTAGTTGCATGGCTGCAGCTATTTCTTGTAATTTCGAGCTGGAACCAGCAACTGCTGCTGCAGGCGAACTACAAAGCTTCTTGCCCAACTCTCCTGAAGTTACATGGTGCTTGCGCCACAGCCCCAGGGATATTGTGTATCCCGACCGAACGGCACAATTTTCCGCGTTGCCCGAGGACTACGATCTCTCTGTTGATGACAAGAACTTGCAAAGACACACGCTCGTGCGTCTTGTGTGTCCAGAACAATGCCAGATCATGGTTGCTCGGCTGAATGGGGGTGGTCAAACCCCAGCGGAAGAGCTCATGCATGGGCCGCCCAGCGGAGGCTTTTGGGCCGCACCAATCGATCGAATTCCTCGCTCGCCAGCCTCCCAGGATCGCTACCGGAAGATGTGCCCCTCGTTGCTCAATCTCGAGGGAGGTTGTGCCCGGGGGACTCAGCGGATTCGTTTGAGATGGGAGAAACGTATGGATCAGCTATGGGTTGCCTGACATGTTTCATGCATTTGTATGATTTTCATTGATTTTCCATCATGTTTTGGATTCGATTCAGGTCCATGATTTGGCGATCGAAGAGAAAACCTTGCCGCAAGGGACTTTCGTGCGACTCGTGTGTCCTGACAAGTGCCTGGTACTCAGATCAGATTGGGGCCTTTTCGGGAGCTTCAATTTGTGGCTGCTTCTGAGATGTGCCACACTGAAAGGCGTGGAAAGCACGACATCCACATCAAGTCGAATGGCCACGACTAGCCAAGAGGACATACAGAGTGCAGCAGGCGTGGAATTCCGCGTCTTGGGAGCATCATTACTGCGCAAGGAGCGCTCAAAAGCCTCCGAAAGCCCTGAAGCTCCACAGAAGGAGCCTGAGCGTTCAAGCCTCAGTGACACGAGACCTGGCTCTGCCCCACGAGTTCCTCTAACTCTAACCCCTTTCAGGGCCCCCGGTGCCGACGCCGACGCCTGCGACGCCGGCGCTGGTGAACCAGACTGAGACCATCAAGATCCGACCTTCAAGGTGCACTCGGGGATGCTCCGAGATGAATCGAGAGTACCATGGTCATCCATGGTCCGGCTTGGGGCAGGACCAGCACAGCGGAGAAAACTGATTATCTGTTACTCCTGGTTTTATTCCTGCCACGCATTGGATATGGTGCCTTTTTGGCACCAGCCTTAAGGATTTTGTGGTCACGCTTTTGTGCACTTTTGATCGCAATGGCAGCCCTGAAGGTGGCTAGCATACGTGGTGTCTGTTGCGGCAATGGTGGCATCTCGTTGAGACGGAGCGTCGGCGTGAAGAACGAAGTCATGCCAAGACAGCACTGAATGCAAATCATGCACCCCCTGTTGACTTCGGCGTTCTAGACAGTGAAACATGCAAATTTGTTCTGGTCGGGGGTGTTGCCCGGATCCAAAGCGATGATGGTTTGTATGTACCAGTCAGTGCTACATTTAACTAATTATAGCATCATTTACATTCCTGGTGTCCCTTCCAATCTTCAAGTGGTCTTTTTGCTGGTCCTCTTTCTCGAAGAAAGAGAGAGGCCAGTAAGGACAGTGATTTGGACTTGGCATTTATATATTGTAGGGTTCATGTGGGGAGCAGTGTATGCCATTCCGTTCCGCAAATTACCCTTGCACAACGTGTTTCGATCCGCTGCACACCTTGCAAAGCTGTTTCAGCTCATTGAAACTGGTGTTTCATTGTGACGTCTTATTTGCCATTTGGGTCGGTCGCTAAGGATTCGTCTTGTCGCTGTCAGTTTTTCTTGTCTCAGCGCATCCCTCCACATCAGATCGCGGATCGCATCTATTTCGTCTCTTGGTTCGCCGCCTCAGACGTCGTCTCCGCTCAGCCTTTCGTGAGATCGCCTCACTCCATCAGACTCCATCATGGCCCTTTTGATGCCCTGGCCCTTTTCATTCTCTTCGCTGCTTTTCGCTCGTCTTTTTGCCCTCTGCCTGCAGTTATCATTTCATCTCACTTACACCTCACTCTACCAAAGGCTAGCTCTCATACCTCAATGGTATTCGCTGAGTCTGAACCTTATGACACGCCGCTCGAGCTTTACTCCTCCCAGCACCTTTAAGGCATGGGCGGGTCTTTGCATGAAGGAGTATGGCTGGTTGCGCATGTTTGGACGTTAATTTCTGATGCACTAGTTTGTCACTCATGGCTGCAACAAAACTGCGGTCCTCTTCCCTGCACAGCCAGTGGCCATAGGACCATAGGAGCCTAGTCTCACCCAACGTACAGAGCTCTCAAAGTACAGAGAAGCGGAGCTCAAAGCGCAAACTCAACTCTGTGAGATTGAAAAGAAGGGTGTGCAGGGCAAATGACTCACTCAGCGACTCCTTTTTCTTTGGCCTTGTGACATCTTGTGATGTTTAAAGTCAACTCCGGTTCATACAGAGGGAGGGGGCATGAAGCAGCTACAATTTTTGCAAAGACTGTTGCTGCATGGCGACGATCAAAATCCCAGGCTGGCCCCTGGCCTAGCCGAGTCAGGCGATTCTATCAAACTTAGTGTGTGGCTCTTGGCAGTCTAGCTTCATGTACGGCATTCGCTGCATTTTCAAGTCTTGGCATTGTTCAGACTTTTAACGCTTTTTGTTCCATGGCAGCATCATGACTTTCAGGTCGCAGCCTGCCTCATGCAAGCTGGGCCTCCTAGCTTGTTTGCCTGCGTGGATTATCAGAAAGGATCGGGCAGTGCCGAATGTTCAAAAGCTCAACCAAGTGGATGAAGCTGAAGATGAAGCCCCCAAGCACATTCAGAGGCAAAAGGCCAGCCATGTCCCTGCACACATGAGCGTCCAAGGCCTATCGTGGCGGCAGCCGAAGACTCATCGACTCAGGCTTTGGGGTAGAACCAGGTAGACTAAAGTGTCTTCAAAAATATCAGGTCAGTAGTTGTTGGCAGTGCAAAGTTGGCATCAGAAGCTAGCATGAAAAGCCTTTGGGATCCTTTGGGGACATTGCATAAGAAGCCGAACGGGTTATTTATTTCACATTCTAGCAAAGTGTGGGAAGGTAGGCCTGTTGGACAACTTCGCCCACTCCCAGATCTGCAGCTGTGTACCTGGTCAAATTCCCAAGCCAGGCATGCCTTCACTTCCTGGCAACAGCCGTGGTATGCTGAAACTCGACCGGAACGTATGCGCTCGACCGACTCAAGCTGGAAAGTCTTGGCCATGTGCTAGCTAGCTTGTGCAGAAGGCGATGGCGGCTGTTTTGCGTTGCTTTCGCGACAGCCTGCCGAACAAACACCATCGCCGGAAACACGAAACAAACGTATCAGCGGAGACGGGGGACCTTTGTCCCGAAGGCCCCCTGCCAGCAATACCTCGCCCCAATTCGTGCCAAAACACCCAAAGCACAACACAAAGAGGAACGTGATGTTAGTTGAATGTGATTGAACATGTGTTAAGCTGCCACGGAGAGGAGGGAGCCAGAGGTAGATGAATAAGCAGGCAGCATCCGGGTGAGACTGGCAACCGACCGAAACTCCAAAATATATTGGGTTTTACCAAGGTAATTAGGACTGACAATGGCATTGCCGCTGCCATGTAGCAACAGGTTCCCAACAATTGGTTCCCAACCTCTGCTGAAAAAGAGGTTCCCAACCCTACCAAAGCCAATGTGGATTCCTGAGAGGCAAAAATCAAAGCATTTGTTCACTTGACAATTTAGTTCGAGCCCGCATGCCGTGACAACTCAACATCGAAAAGCGTGGATGGTGTTTTTTCCAGCAACTATCTTGACCAAGGAGCCCTGACAACTCCTATGCTTTGGCCCGGACCTTAGCACAAGCTTTGCGTGGAATCAATCCAACATGTGACTGCAGATCATTGTGCCCAAGAGCAGGCGGGACATGAAGGGCTTGAACAATTGGTTCGTTCTAAATTGCCTCCCACACACCCACCCTCTCTGTGCACGTTTGTGTTTGTACTATTTTGTACTGATGCCCTTTTCACTTCCATATCCTTCTTTCCTTTGACTTGCTATGTCGATCTATTCGCATCAATCACGGGTCCCGCGAGAGCACACTTAGGGCAACTTCACGGAGAGCCTTGGTCAACCGCCGCTGGGATTGGAACAAAATTCTCACCAACAGCAACAGGTTCAAGATGGCTCCAGCATGTGGTGAATCTGTGAAAAAAAACAGTTGAAATACCCGTTAGATAATCAATATTGAAAATCTTAGGGGTCAACCCCTGGAAAAACTAGGAATGTCTTTTTTGTTTTTCGCCTGCGTCCAGAAAAGCAATACGACGCCAAAAACTTGCTACCAAAAAAGTTTAACCCTTGGCACAAGGATTTAATAATCAGGTTGGAATAACATACCAGCAAACTTGAGGACCACATGGTATCTTAGGCCACGAATTTAGTAATGCATGTTTTCCCTTGCTTACACGGGGTCAAGGTCTGATTTTAATACTTGAGTAGGGCCGGTCTGTGCATTGCCAGCCATTTATTCTTTATCCAACCATGGAGGCAAATACTTTTTCCTGAGCTCAACTGAGCGTTCCTGTGGAGTTTGGAATGGACCTGAATCTGAAGGTCAAACAAGGACGCTACTAGGGGCTCCTGGCCTTGCTACTTTGGGACTTTGACCGAGGACCCGATGACCCGTTTCGATTGTCCGACCTCGGTGTATGGCCGTTGCTTTATTTTTTTAAGAACATGCATGTCCTTATATAATCAGATCATTGTGCCTCAAAAATGCCAGGCCAATACTCAACCAGGAAATGACCAGCCGGGCCCCTGAACACACAAGACATGACACAGTGATAAAGTGGTTTGTACATATTTGACATGCACAAGCACACACGTATCACGGACGTTAAATGTCACATTTATACATTTTTCAGAATTTGGCAGCCATGGCCGTGATTATGGGAAGGAACAAAATACAAAATTTTGGGGGACATTTGTGGGGATTTGATGTCCATACTAGGATTTAAATAAGCCCATGATTTCGGTATCAGATGTGATCATGTAGGGTAGGGGAAGGATTATATTAAAACGTCGGCTCGAGGATTTTAAAGCGACAGAATCTCAGTCAAAAAAACTTAGTGTCGACCTTGGAACATTCAAAAAAAGAATTACGTCAGCTCCGAAGGATTTGAATACAGTTTTTCAATTGAAATCCTTCACCCAACGATTCAGGTATTATTCATCGGGTATGTTGAACCATCTGGAGCCATCTTGAACCAAAAACACCGTTATGAAATAGGCATGAATTGGTGAAACAAGGTGTGAGCGAGACCTGGAAACGTCTCATGTGAGAGCAAGGTCTGGAAATGTGGGTGTGGATGGTGTTTTAGCCCAATCTGACCATCTTAGGTCAGGAGATGACGCCTTGATCTCAGCTACACCTTTGGCTTTGTTTTGCTTCCCATTTGGCGGCGAGTATCGAAGAGTCTGGCATGAAAGGCCAACAAGTTATTGCAAAGACGGGCAAACATTCAGTGCACTCAGAGATGTGCCCCAGTTGGTCAGTGCTTTCTTCGCACCTAGCGGGAATTCGGCAAGCAGACATGGTTGTTTGGGTCAGGCTGTGCGGCGCTTCGTGCAAATCTCAGATCTGGGCCAATTCGCACAATTCTGTGCAGACATCTCCCAACCCAAGAAGGATTATGTATAGTTTGGGTCTGTCCTATAGCCCATCATGTAACAGTCAGCGCACAAGCAGTATTATATATATTTCTTTAACAGGCCTTTACTCACCATCATCATCCACGGTTACTGGTAATAGGATGGGCCCAATGTATAGTATATATTATATATTATATATATCAAGAGTCTATATACATATATAAGCCCTCATAGGTTCCGATCATAGTGATTGGGGTCGGTTTATTCATCAAGAGTCTACAGTCTAAATTAGCACTCTTAGCACTCTTAGCACCTGCTAGAACCAGGACCTGAAGCCTTCTTTTTCTCGGTCTCCACTCCATGGCTCCGGAAGAATTTGCTACCCACGGCTCCGTCAGGCGCCCGCTGGTGCGTCGCCCGGCATAATGGTTGGCACAATAAGGCGCACTGCAGATGCATACTAGGTCTTACTAGGTAGGTCCAGTTTGACCAATGCTGAGCCGAGACTTGCTTTCTTATGTTGGCAATTTGGGCCGGTCATGCCTGATCTTCACATTTGTAGAGTTTACTTTTCTTCAAGTCATCCAGTGCAGATCATGAGAATGACTTACGCTAAACAATTTCGCATGGGAAGGCTGATGCATCAGCCAAACAGAACATTGTTGGCATCCCATTAAACAAACACGACATAGAAACCAGTTCATAAGGAGGGCAATAGACAGTTCTGCAATTCCGGATGCAACAGTAATATAGTAGTCCACACTGGCATGCTGTTTCTTGCTCTTGGACTGCCTGCCATTGTGGGCTCGTCGTATCGCAACTCACCCTTCAAAGCAAAGATCGTTTGTCAGCCGAATGGAACAAGATCAAACAAGATCCTTTGTGGTGTGAAACAAGGCTGTCGCCCAGCAGCATACTATGCTTCCTCCCCTGCACCCTTCGCACCCTTCGCACCCTTGGCACTGACCTGCCAGGTCCGCTGGGGGCCCTTCGGGATCTTCGACCGCTGCTCCGCTGAATGTGACACAGCTCCAGCTTCAGGCGGAAAGCGGAAAGGGGAAGGACGGGAAGGAGGCTATACTGGCTGATATGCCACGCTACTCCCAAGCCATAAGACCCCATAAATCCTTATATAAGTCATCAGAACCTAGTATACCCTTTTGCTTGGAGTTGGTAATACTTTGACAATCTCTGGGATGGAAGGATTTGATTTCATATGGTCCACTGTGTACACTAGGCAAACTCAGTTCTGCAATGAGCGGGCAAGAGAATGCTGATGTGTTGAGCTCCCGCTTCTGCATTTTCCTTGGTGGTGTGACATGTTGGTTTTATCCGACGCATCCACTACCCTCCTCAACCTCATTCTGTTAACATGGGCCTGGGGAAGCTTTCAATTGAATTTTGCATGGCACATCAGTTCATCAGTTAGCTGCATACCAACCTTTTCGCCCCGCCTCAGGCACAAGGATCCAGCATGAGAATGGACAAGGCGGAACTCGCCTTTGCCGAGTGTCCATGGTCCCACCAGGGACGCAGCGAGAACCGGCTCCACTCATTGACAAAGGTATACCGTTATACCGTAAGGGGAGGACATTGTATTTGGCTTTGTCGACATGCAACTTCGACGCGTCCTGCAGGCCAGCAAAGCGAAATCATTTGCAAACCCTGGTTCTTCCCTGAAGGAGGCGGAGGAGGCTGGAAATCACAACGTAAAGTCACACACCATCAGAAGGCAATTAGGTAGCCTGACACAGGCAGACAGAATTGATGTCATCACAGCTGCATGCGGCGCATACGATGCAACTGTCAGGATCCAAGCGCAGGATTAGCTGCCCGCCTGCCTGAATCCAAATTGCCTGGAGCCTTGTCAGAATTCCAGTCGCCATCAACGTGAAAAGCCTGAGATTGTGGCTGCTGTGCAGGGCGTTTGCAGAGTTAAGCAAGTTATGAGAAGCAAACTAAATGGTAGCAAGTTATGTTGAGTCAGGGTGCGCAACCTGGAAGTTACACATAATTCCCCTGGCAACTTATATAGAAGATCGCAATATGTTGCTATAGAATAGCGACTTCCCTTTGTCCCAAAGGGACAGGCCGGACAGGCTTGAGAATTGCACTGCCCGAGTTGGCTGTGTCTTTCCTCAGCACCCAAAGGGTGATATGACAGGGCATTCTAAGTGGTGACGGACAGGATTTGAAGATTTTGCGGGAATTATTGCAAGATTAGTATATATATAGTATATACTGTAAGTCATTCATAGTCATGCCAATCTCCCAGGATTCCAACAAAGATTCCCCCTCCTCATTCAAAATTGAAGTGCCAGACTTCGTGTAGGAAAGAACACTGAGCAGTAATTACATGTATATAATTACCGGAAATAACTTAGCAATGAACAAGTGTTTTTGCTCAACGATGATCTGAGTCGAAACCTAAGGCTGGTTTTGAAGCATTCTTGCAATTAGTTGGACAATGCCATCGTCCCAGATGAATCTTTTCAAATCCCACGACGATCCCCACAGATCCTTTTTCAGCCTTGTCGATGGATGGCAAAAGGTCGTTACTCCACGCGTGTGCTCTGAGTCATTGTGCCTGGCGAGAGTGGCTGTTGCATGGAACAATTGGTGACTTGAGTTGCTCTTTGCCACAGGTTTCTGCCGTTGCTGGCCGAACGCAAATAGCTCGTTGCCGGTTCAGCCAGGTTGCCGATAGTCATTGAAAGGCATTCTGCCAGTGGCCCAACCGAGTATATATATATATATATCCCGGCCAAGTATTCCCAGAAAAACAACAACAGCCAAGAAAATGACAGCAAATAGGAATGAAGCCTCGCAGGGTGCGGTCAGGTCGAACTAGAATTGGGGGGCCAGGGAATATGAGAAGCAGCCAAAGGGGTTTGCACACAAAGCGACAAAACCTTTGTGTGAGACAGCCTTTGCACAGAAATCATGAGCATACCATGTGTTTTGCGACAGTGAACAACCAAAAGCGATACCCTATCGCTCGATCATTCGATTCAAATCTTATTGTTGCTTTACATAAAAGCGATGCCTAAGCCATACCCAGGGATGATCAAATTGTCTAGTTAGTTTAGCGGGGCTGCCCTATCCAGTAGTGGGAGCAGAAAGGGCTGCTTCAAAAGAAAGCCTGCAGCAAAATGAAGGAGGCATCTGGGACATTGTAGAGCGAACAGAACATCCAGAACCAGCGATACTCGAGTGTTCGGGCAACTGGTCTTGTGCCCACAGGTTTTGGCACTGGACCCTCCACCGCTTGCGTTGCTCTTTCACTGACAAGCTAATCCAATCCTCTACTCGCATAGAGTGGTGTACATGACCAAAAAACCCCAGAGACCCACCTATGCTCGGAAGACCCAATCTCAATTGAGTCTTGGACATTGCGGCATTTGTGCAATGCAGTCTGGGCTTGTAACCCGCAGAAAATGGCCTGTATGGCGCTACGAATGTATGCCCCCCTGCCACGGCTTGGAAAAACCAAACGGGCATCCTTCAGCACATGCCATGGCACTGAAGTGGAGCTTCGCCCTTGCCGCTGGGCGTGCGGAAGCGGCCAGTTTGAGGCAGGTCGGGTCAGCCGGTGAGGCCGTGCAAACGCTCGAGGCCACAATGGCACGACGAAGAGCACCGAGAGGCTTTGTGGTGCGGCATATGTGGCTCAAGAAGAGAGATAGAGTTGTCTCAGCCCGAATGAGCCAAGGAAGAAGCAACGTTGTTGACATTGACTCCACATGATAGGCCTCCACTTTGGTGCGGAAGCGATGGCCGTCCTGTAAACTTCCCCTGTTGTCAACGGAAACAGTGATTTTGAATGGACCTCCGCCGAACGGCCATGCCGCTTGCTTTCTGCAATCACCAATGCTGCAAGAAAGTTGTTGCAGTGTTGGCTTGCTTCGTCGGCCAATTTGTGTCTATGGGCATGTGTTACAGCCTTGAGCTCAGTGACGCACACATACAAAATGATTGCCCAATACGCGCTTGCATACCGAATCTTATGCAGTGCTTGTTGACTTGGTTTTTGTAAAGCTGGGCGTAGCGTGAAATTGGGAGGGCTGCCAGTGACACCCAGATAGTTAGAAAGATTCGCAGCCGAAAGTGCATAAAGGCTAAAGGCAGCTGAAAAAATCCGCAAGGAAGCCGCTCTGGCCTTCAAAGTTGAACAGAGAACATGTTTCTTGTGTGCGTCGTGCTGATTCATTCAGAAATGCAACGATCAGTTTCCTCCATTGGGGGGGAAGGAGGGGGGAACCCATGGGCAGAAGATGGGCTACAGCGACCCCACTGAGTACACTAGTAGGGTCACCTGACTGTTGGCTTTCCATTTAGAGCTCTTGGGATTCAACATCCTTCACCTTTCCCTTGGCATAGGTTATGGCCAGATTTTCGCCTCCTTGAAGGCTGAGAGTGCGGGCAGCGTTAGCGAAGGAGCTGCAGGAGCTCGCCTGGGCACGTTGGCACTGATCGGATCCGCTCGAGACTTCCTGATGAACACCGGGTTAATGTTCACAGGTCCTTGTGTGAAGCAATGCGGCTATGTCTTCACGGCCGTCTTGGGAGGCAGCTTGATGGTTGTAGGCCTTCTATTGGATAGCGTTGTGCCAAGACCCTTGATGTTCTTATCCTTCAGCTGCTTTTCTGGCTTGGGCTCTGCCTTGCTCTTCATGCCTTCTGGTGTGGTTCCTTTCCTGTGCTTCAGTGGGCCGATGCTTCCGGTGGTTGTTGGCATAGCTTCCACTGGTGGAGGAGTTGGCACGGTCGTTTTAAATATCCTGCTGGCCCACTTTCTGGATGCTTGGGGCCGACGAAGCGCACAGCGTGTTCTTGCTTTATGCTTACTATTCGTGCTGTCCTTGAACACCATAGCACTTTGGTATTCCACACGTCAAGCTGCAGAAGCTCCTGAAGCTCGTTCTGAGTCTGGAGAGACTGCCAGCGAGACGACTCAATCTGAGACCGAACCAAGCGAGACCACATCTTCCAAGGCAGAAAAGGCAGAAGGACAGTGCATCAAATCTTTCTTGGAACCCTTCTCAAACCGAAGCTTCTTGCTTCTCAATGTGGGCCTGCTGCTTTACATGTGTGGCTTCATGGTGCCCTACACGCATTTGGTCTACTATGCCGAGCAGCACGGCTATAGAGAAGCTCCGACATTGATCAGCACCATTGGGGCCGCAGCCATTCTTGGACGGTTTTTTGGTGGCTCAGCTTTCCCAACGATCAAAGCATCGTAATATATCGTAATTAATTATACACCACCACCGCGACTACTACTACTACTACTGCTGTGAATATGCTGTGACTATACTCCATTGGGCCAGCGGGCTTGTGAGGATTCTTTGCCACTCTGTGCCACTGAGGCGGCCTGTTTGCAAGTGTGATTTCGCCATCCGTGTTGTTCTTGGTGGTCATTAGCTTGCAGGGTTTGTCGCTGATTTTGCTGCCCTTCTGCACCTCTGGGGTGGAGCTGCATGGCTTTTCCGTGGCTCGGCCGACTGTTGCCTCAATCAACCTGCTTTCATTATCTTTTACTTATTGATGCACTTTTTCACTGCTTTTGAAGGAATGGCGTGCACTAACACAGGATATTCATATTGGCATTGGCATTGTCACTCCCACACCCAGACTAGCTTCCGTCCTTGGCTCAAGGTCAAGGGTGTTTCTCAACCATGTTACGTAGTGTTGACGTCCGTACGAGCAGGTCCACAGGCAACACGAGTGCTTAGGCTTTTGGGTAGCTTTTGATTGGATTCATCAGTTCAGAATGTGTGATCATTCTGGGGGGAGGAGGGATAAATGTGTTAATCATCCAGCAGACCAGGAGACAATCTAGAACGTGGCTTTTCTGTCATCAGCAACCTAGTTGTAGGAGACGACATCTCAACACATGAGATTTCGTGAATGCGTCCGATGACATTCTGATGAACACAGGTGCTCTTTGGCATCTCCTCTGGCAGCCGTGTCGCCCTCCTATCTCTCCTACTGAATGAGCTGTTTGGGGTGGAGAAGGTGCCACACTACTTTGGCCTTGTAGGCGCAACGTCATGGTGTTGGCGTCCATGAACAAACAAGAGCAGTGCTTGTGGAATCCATTATCAATCGGACATCAAAGGTATATCATAGAACCTCTTGTGGCATGTCTATCCACGTTGCTCTAGGAGTTTTGCTAGGGTGCCAAACTGCAGGCGCTGCATTGGGCATTGGCAACCTGACCGGGCCTACACTAGTTGGAACGATTGTTGACATGACCGGAAGCTACCGTGCTGGCTTTTGGACTTCAGCGTCTTTGGTTTTGGCGTCTGTGCCATCGGTACTCGCAGCCATTTGGACCAATTCGAGACAGCGAGCTAGTGAAGCCAGTAAGGGCGCGTCGGAAGTGTGATTGCAGTACGTGTCATTTTTTCAATTTACTGTGTATGTTTTGAGACTGGCTGAATTCCAGCCAGAAGAACAGGGCTCCATTGTTTGAGTTCAGTTGCAGGCCATGCTTGCATCGCTAAACGGGTGAGGTCAGTCTGGTGGTTGCGGTTGGACCAACTGTCGAAGCCCAGTGTCAACCGCAAGCCAATGTTTCTGTTGAAGCTTGCAACCATTCGTGCTACCTCACTTTGCATGTGGATGAACTAGACTAGACTTTTGCACTGCACACTTGCCGACGACATTGCTGCAGACAATTGCAGATAGTCTTGAATTCAACAATGCGCCAAAAGGCGCGTTTGCTTCTGCTGTTGCAGAAGGCAAGGCCTAAGGCGTGATGACAGGCAGGATCCGTTGATGCCGTTTTAGTTGCACGCCAAGCTCCCTGTACAGCAGTCTAGCATGAAGCTACGAGACACTTCCCGGAACTTGGTGGCGCTGAATCACTCAGGAATCTACCCAGCTCCATAAACGGAATCGTCCAAAAAGAGAGGATTTCACGATTTTCATGGAAGTGGAAAGTGGACGAACATGGCTGGATCTTGGATCTTGCAGCGAACATCGTTTCCTTTCGATTCTCGACTGGTCCAGGCGTCCTTCTCGAAGTCCGACACCCAGGATCGCGTGGTCGTTTTGGGATAAAGGAGCTGAGCCTTGGCAAGTACAGACTCTGACCTTCCACATTCATCACCTTTCAGGTCCGACCTTTAAAGTTTTAACATGCTACAGGCAAACGGCTCGGCGAGCCGCTTGCGACATGCAAGTATGGCATGGGGCGTCTCCTTTATGGCGTCCCTTGCCACCGGCCATTTGAGGAGAAGTTGCCAGACTTTCGTCGCCTTTGTGTCGAGACCTGGGCTGCTCAGAACCCCGACTGGGAGACTCTCAGATCTGAATTTCAGTGTGCCCAACGTCACTTTCATCATTGCCGCAGTGTGCCTTCAGCAATGTGGTAGAATTGAGAATTCGGGGCGCTAGATTGAGACTTGAGATGAATTGAGAACATGGTAGATCACATCATGAGCCGTTTATACACACAACCACACATCTATAAGATCATAAAATAAAGATACTAATACTACTACTGCCAGGTCTACTAATTACCAATACCAATAATAACAATAATACATATATATATATAATATATATATATAAATAATACATTTGAAACGTGTATTATATTCATGGACTTGTTCAGACGAGTGGACTCGTTTGGGGCTCCTGTCTCACTGTCTCATCATGTCTCCCCCATCCAGGATTGAAATTTTGGACCAGCGCAACGTTTTGGATTTTTTGGAGCCTTCGGATTTGCCCAGATTATGGGACGAGATGTACGTCCCATGGCAGGCAGATGCTGTGCGACTGGCCTTGCTGGCGAAGTATGGAGGTGCCACATCAGATTCAGAGGCTTTTCTTTGTTGTCCCCTTTCTGTTGTTTTTTGTGTTTTTGGTGGGGTTGGAGTGGAATCCGCAACTCTCACATAGTGTTTGTTGCGCTCTTTTTGTGCTTTAATATGATACACACACACATATATATATATGTATATTGAACGATGTATACAATGTACATTCTGTAATGGCTTTTGACGGTTTGCCACTCGCTACTTGTAGACTGGAGATTTGCCAGATCGGAACTTTGGTGCATTAAAGGAATCACCCACCATGCCATGGATTTGGTGCACGGGAAGCCCCACCGGTGGATTTTCAGGCCTGTGGATTGATGCATCAACTATTTGCTTCCAACCGTTTGATGCCTGGATCTACGGAGCCATTCAGTCAGAAGAGCGCCCAGAAGAAATAGCCGTTACTTGGTGTGATTCACTGACTTTGGCAACCCCTCCCCCAATGGACCATATCACCCGCCACGATCGAAGTGTCTCCAACTTCCGACTGTGTGAGACCCTCATCAGTAAGTGTCTTAAATGGTTGGCAAAAACAACAAGAACCCAGAGCCTAGAGCCCTTTATATTGAACACACAGGCATTTGAATTGTCCTTAGTAAAAGTGTTGCCGCGAAGACTAAAACAAAGAACAAAAAGAACATAACTACGTTTTCACAGATCTTTAATTTTTCACAATACATCTTTTTGGTGTGATTCTTTGCAAGGTGGTTGATTTGTTCTCTTTAGTTGCTCCCCAAGGCATTCTACTTCTCTGCATGGGGCTGTGAAATGCACAAGAGCAAGGATGGAAGAAGAACCGAACATTGTTTGTTTGCTGCGCTGCGTATGCCAGAGTTTACTCTGCCTCAAACTTCCGTCCATTGGCCTGTTCCTTTTGCGTTTGTTCTTGTGCTGCGCTGTTGTTTACACTGGGCATCCAAAGAGATTTGCGGGAATCCTTTTGAGCGCTACTCCTGCGCAGGAGTTTGTTGAGAACTGGGTGATGGCAGCCCGACGTGAACATCCACTGATGTTGGCCTGGCAAGCGCTTTTCAACGGCTATTGGAATAGCAAGTCCAGGCCTGCCAGTTTGGCAGAACAGTGGAGTCCAGTGCATAGGTTTATGGTGGTTTATGCAAGCAACACAACAGTTTAACCTCATTCTGCCAACTGTATCCATTTGTCCTGATTTGATCCGTTGAGTCGACTCACCAGGGCAGACGCCTTTTCCATGTTCCTCGACCCACCTGGTGTGCCAGAGCACCCGCTTTTTCGAGATGTCGATTTGAGCCACTTGACGCCCAGCAGCATGAAAGCAGGTTGACTCCTCCAGGCAAATCTCAGTTCCCAAGACGACGCCAACATGTGGACCAGCTCTGCGTATTCAGGAAACGCTTTGGGCAAGATTTGAGGAATTATTTGCTGATGCATGCAGCATTCAAAAAGATGATTGTGGCTTGGAACTTGGAATGAGATGTACTGCCTGCACCTTTTGTGTATTTGTGACTTGTGCTGTGGCTTGCTTGGTTCAGCGCCATGATTTGGATCAATACCCAGACCTTGACACCATCGTGAGTTCCACCATGCTTCAGGATCAATACCCAGAGTTCCGCCGAATCTGGGAAGAGGAAATGCTTCTAATCCGTGCAGATGACACCGCCTTTTGGCACATGGAAGAGCCAGACGTGAAGTGGGACCCAAACGAGTTTCAGCCGCATAAACTTGTGGCGAAGTTGGTTTTTCCAGGCTTCATGTTGTTTATTCTTGAGAAGTCCTACATGTTAATATCAATTTCTGCTGTCCTCGATTCCTGGATGCTGACGAAACGACTCGAAAGCTGCGTGCTTTCAAGTGAAAGGCTGCTCTGCGAAAATGGCGGCGGAAGACAGATCCGTCTTGGATGGTTGCTTGATTTGAGGGGCTTGTTCCCTGTTTGCCCTTTTTTTCCCGAATGCGTAGCGAAGGGTTCTCGTTTAACTCTGGGGGTCTGGGGGTAGAGTCTTGTTCGCGATCCGTTGCTTCTATGTTCGCAACCGTCCGCAACTGTCCGCAACCGTTCGCAACCGTCCGCAACCGTCCGCAGTAGGTCGCTAAGGCGCTGCCATTGGGGGAAGCTTTTGCAAGTGACTATGCATGGATGTGTCACGTGTTAGTTTGCGACGCGAGTCCATTGTGATTTGCGTGAAAAGGATATGTCGCGCAAGAAGCGTGATGCGTTTCACTGCGCAGGCGCAGCGTTTTGTGAGATCCGCAGTTTGCTACGCAGTTCCATTGGGATTAGCGTTTGGAGAGTCGTGTTTTTGGGGTGTTGGATGTGGCCGTGCCATTGGGATTTGCGTTTCAGGGTGTGGCATCGAAGCTCTGTTTTCGTGACAAGTCTCAGCTGAAATGCCGATTTTGGACCCTGGGAGTGTGCTCAGAACGGGTCGAAATCATTCCAAACGTGTGGTGTGGTGCAAATTTTGGTGAAGCTCACATGAGATGACATTGTTACTTTTCGTGGCAGGCGCAGGATTTTGTGCGTGTTTTGAGGTGTGGAAGTGGGATTTTCGTGGCAGGCGCAGGGAATGGTGAGGTTGCGATGCGTGACGGAGGTGACATTTCGTGACAGGCGCAGGGAATCGTGAGGTTGCGAGGTGTGACGGAGGCGACATTTCGTGACAGGCGCAGTACTTTATGCGCATTAGACGTGTGGATGTGGAAAGATTCACGGCGGGCGCAGGGAATCGTGAGGTTGCGAGGTGTGACGGAGGTGACATTTCGTGACAGGCGCAGGGAATCGTGAGGTTGCGAGGTGTGACGGAGGTGACATTTCGTGACAGGCGCGGTACTTTGTGCGCATTAGACGTGTGGACGGAGGTGACATTTCGTGACAGGCGCAGGGAATCGTGGGGTTGCGAGGTGTGACGGAGGTGACATTTCGTGACAGGCGCAGTACTTTATGTGCATTAGACAGCGGCTACGAGGGCGAGTGTAGTGACTGAGTTCAGGGGAACCAATAGGAAGTACGACCCCACCAAGTGGCGTCAGCTGCGAACGGATTTCTGCGACATCTGGTCTCTTGTGCTGGAAGAGGTGGCCGCTCCCACGGCACAATTTTTCCGAGAACACGGGGCTCTGCGTGTCTTTGCCGCCGAAGCTGGTGGAGGCGGCGATTGCTTCTTTTTGTCCACTGCGGTCGTCCTGATGCAGGCGCGAGCAGTCCACCCACGACTCTTGAATCTTTTCACTTCCGATGAGGTGGCTGACTGGGACGACCGAATTACGGTCGCGGCTGCTCTCCGCAAGATTGTCGGGCGACACATGCGCGCCAAGACGCCAAAAGCATTCTTGAACTTTGTCGTAGGGTGTTTGGTGCGCGAAGCTGCGAGGACATGGCTGGACGACTGGTCCATGATCGCACTGTTGCGTGGCTCTCCTTTTGCTTTCTTGAAAGACGCCAACGATGTCCTCGGAGCAGAAGTTGCAGACGACGCCATGCTAGTTCGCTACAAAGAGGGCGACAGCTCCGTGACGAGGAGCAAGAGAGTGCGTTCTGGCACTGCGGCCCTGGTGTCTTTGCAGGATGCCGTGAGCACTGCTCTCGAAGCTTGTGGGAATACTCATTGGGCAACGGACGTCGACTTTGTTGCGTTGGCCACGGAGCTCAATCTTGGCTTCATCATTCATGGAAATACTTGGACCCAGACGTCTGTTGTTCGAGGCTCCGGTGACACATCTAACAAACGTGTGTGCGATAAATCCATACGAATGTTGGACTAATGACATAACCTATAGGATAGTTTTCTTCACTTCCGTTGTGTGTGTCTCATATACTTCTTGTCGATGCAGGCGAACCACAACAACGCACGGTCTTGCACTCCTATTTACAAGAAGATCAGACGCCGCAATTGTGGATTTCTCTGTATTATGTGGATGGTTATCATTTTCAAGTCCTTATTTTCGAGATTTTGGGACAATGCCATTGTTTCTTTCGTGCCGCGGATCTGCCAGAACCTTTACGCCAACGCTTGATTTGAATGCAAAACAAAGATCCTTCATGATGAAGACAGAGCTTGGTGGTGAAGTCCCCATGATGTCCAACAGCGTGTCAGAGAGTGAAAAAGAGATTCTGACCGGCTGTGTCTCTTTTTGTACACAGTGGTTTGACGTATGTGTTTGCATTCGGGTTCGTGGGCTCCATCTTGTTGGATATTCCTGGAACAAGTTTGCAAGAGGAAGTGTCATGGAGTGTCCTTCCATTGGAAGTCAAGAAAGGCGGTTGTTTGCCTTCAAGGGTCACAAGTTGTGCCAAAGAGTGAAGCAGCCGCCAAGGCTTATGTGAAAAAATCCTGTCCAGAACCTTGCCTGCAGCAAGGGGAGCAAGTTTGGCGGGGTGATGTGGTCAAAAGTGGTCAAAGCTGCCGCAGCCTCGTGACAGCTAAGGTCTTGAAGTTCACAAGAGATACCGCCACTCGGCGCCACTCATGCGGCATGATGCCAGCAAATGCTCGCTTCGGAAGCTCAGGCGCAACTGCTCGATGGGCTCTCGCGCGAGGAGTGTCTGACGGCAAGGGGCTAAATGAACTAGCAAGGAAACTCACCAAGCTGTGGCAAGGTCTTAAAGACCTGAGGGACTACACCCGGAAAGATTAACACGGAACCTAAAAATTGACCTTTGGAAGATCATTTCCCCCAAAAATGCACATCCAGTGGTTTCAGATTTCTGGTGAATCTTCCAGGGCGTATATTGTATACACACATTGTTCCGTTGTTTGTTCCGAGTTACGTTGAGCCGGTTTGACTTGCGTTCGTGGGCCACAGGTGGTGCACGCGGGTGGGACCACAGGCCGAATGGAAGCAGAGAAGTCAGAAAGCACTGTAGAAGCTGTGGGTGGCAGCTGGAGGTGGAAAACACTTCACTAGAGATTGGTGGAGGACAGCATCGAACTGAGTTCTTAGAGAGTATCAACAGTAGGGCTTCATCACACTCCTACTTATGTGACACTTCATCATACAAATCATCACTTCGCCTACAAATCGCCACACATCACTTGACTGCATCACAAATAAGATCTTCACGGCACTTCGCAACATCACAAATCAAATCAAACCAGTGACATGCCAAATCACCCTGCACCGCACTGCCACTGTGCACTTCAGGATCATCACAAGTGTTTTTCGTTTGGAACCCAAGGCTCGTTCGGTAAATTCAACAGCTGCAAAGATTTATTGCTTGTTGTCGCAGTGTACATGCACAATCGCAGGCCGCAAATGAACACTTGCCATCATAGTTTGCCATTCTTGAAACTTCCACCCAGAGGGCTGCTTTTGCAAGGCGTTTGAGCAATTCTGAGCACACATGTGCACTGTGGTTTCTCTATCGGCTATCGGCTACCGCTTTGGCTTGCAACAGAAAAGGGTTCATGTATTGAATGTATTGATATGCTAGTAACAAGGAGCTACCAGTAACAAGAAGCTACTAGTTGGAGTTGGAGGCCATTACTACTAGTAACACGAAGCTACTAGGTGGAGGCCATCGCTATTAGGTTGGAGGCCATTACTAGGAGTAACAAGAAGCTACTAGGTGGAGGCCATCGCTATCAGGTTGGAGGCCATTACTACTAGTACCAAAAAGCTACTGGGTGGAAGCCATCGCTATCAGGTTGGAGGCCATTACTACTAAAAACACGAAGCTACTAGGTGGAGGCCATCGCTATCAGGTTGGAGGCCATTACTACTAGTAACAAGAAGCTACTAGGTGGAGGCCATCGCTATTAGGTTGGAGGCCATTACTAGTAACAAAAAGCTACTAGGTGGAGGCCATCGCTATTAGGTTGAAGGCCATTACTACTAGTAATATGAAGCTACTAGTATGGGAAGAGAAAATAGTTAAGCCGAGCCTTTGAGATCCTGCGTGTCGGCGCTCGACATCGCTCGACATCTCAGGCTGGAACCTGCTTGGGGGATGCTTTCGCCCAGGCATTATCGGTAGACTAACTGCAAAACCGTCGGCCACTCTGGGCAAGAAGGCCGGGGATTTGGAAACTTTTGATTTTGCATGCCGCTTTCAGAAAATTTTTTCCAGAATGATGCAGTATATGAGCCTCTCAGCTTGCCCAAGGTCGAGCCGGAGCCGCATGCAGGGTTGCAAGCACCGACCTGGAAATGTCCACGTGGACAAGCTTCCTGGAAAAGACCACCTTATGCTGACGAACAGCAAGGACAAGGCCTTATTGCTGACGAATTCTGGCGATTTTTTCCAGATCGAGGAGGGGACCAGTTGGTGCACATCCACATGATTTGTTCGCAGCCAAGGCATTTTCTTTCAAATTTTCAAGCACTGCTTCGAATCCTCATAGTTTGGTAGTTTCACAGCATTATTTCAATGTGTCATGATGTCTAGTTGCAGGATAATCTCAAAGAGTTTGTTTCAAAATGTGTCATACGGGATTTGCAGTGTAACACTGCAGTGCTTCAGTGGGCTTGGCTGCAAGAATGCAGGAATACTCCACGTGGAAAACTTTCTGTGATCTTTTGTGCAAACTGTGAGAGAGTTGAGAAGGCTCATTGGAATGACAGGAAATTCGTGCTCATGGCTCTTGCATTTTCTGTCACTCTTCACATCGGAAGCTTGGCTGAAGAGCAGCTTCCCAACATCATAGAATTAAAGTGCTCATTTTGATGGAATAACCGTACATTTTGATAGAATTGTAGACGTATATAGTTGATCTGATTTTGGTGTTTGCCGTGCCACCACGTCGAGCAACGGCAAACAATGACACCCAGAACTTGGTCACGCTGAACCAAGGTCAATCAAACAAAACCGGATTACCCCAGCAGGACTAACATGATTCAACATCATCCATGTTTGCAAGTTAGTGCAGGGAGACGCAGGGAGACGTTTAGAATGAGCCACGCGTAGCCGGAATGCAATGCAAAAGGCGTTTCGAACGGTCAGCGCTAGCTACAGTTGCCCGTGCTCCTAGGAACGCCATGCTCCTATGCATGTATTCAAGCTCCTGAAAGAGTCATGACGGGAGGCCTCATTTTCTTCGAAGATGACGGGATTCCAGCCCCTATGCTGCCTATGCTGGGCGACGGTGCGTGAGCTTTAGCGGTGCCTGACTGCATCCATCGGAAATCCGACATTTTGCGACAGGTCATGTTGGAATCATGAATCAAGCTGCACGTGCGACTTTGACAGGTTTAATCCAGAGAGCAAGGGGTTCCAAGATTTGGGCCACTAGATTGCATGAATATAGATCTCATCTCAATCTTGGACTATTTTTGAACAAGCACACCCAATGACGTGATCCTGGTCACAAGAGTCACCACCAGAGCGGATGTTGAGCACGTAGAAAGCACACAAGATTCTGCGCCAGCCATCTAAGCTTGCCTCAAAAAAAGGAAGCGGTTCAAATGCCCATTCAGGTGGGTTTGGCAGTGCTTTTACCTTGCTAGTTGCATGATGCGTGCTTTCTTGAAGTAGGACGCCGCACCATGTTGCTGCTCATCGGCTCCCAGCATCTAGTTGGATGTCGGGGATTTCTCCCTGTCACCAACGTTCGGATGTCGGGGCCTCGTGCAGCTCATTACTGGTCAAAAACTGCTAAGGATAGCCTTCTTTTTGGTCTCCCTAAGGGTGTGAGACTGCATGGAGACAAACAAAGGAGATTACAAAGATGGACATCCTCCTTGTTTTTTCTCTCAGTTACCTGTGAAATCTTTTGACACTTTCTTGTTGAGGTGGAACCTTAGATCCGCTTCATTGTAGACTCCCGCCGTGCGGAAACTCGGCCATTTGTCCATGTAGAATCGCAAACAGCGCTCTTTTCTTTTGATTGTGCACTTTTTTTGAGGCTGACAATTGTGGCAGGGCCTCAAGCCGGCATTTGCAGGATGGTTTGTCGTTTCTGTTTTCTTAGACTTCACGCACAAATTTGCTTTTGTCCCAGGTGCAAGAAATGATACCACAAAACAATCTTTGTGGAAGAGTAACGTTCTGTCAAGATCTCATGCTCGTTTCTGTTCACCCTGCCCGCAATTGTTGCAGGGTCATGTGGATTCTGGCGCTGCTATGTCACACCTGCCTCGCCACTCACCTTCGAGGTGGACTGAGACAGTGAGCCAAAAACATCGTTCTTTATGTTCGTTTCAGCTCAACTAGTCGGCGTTTTGCTTCTTGGGCGAATACCATGTTTGGTGGTATCATTATGTATTATTATGTGTTATTACATCATGGATCACTGAACATTCGCGTATTCAAGGATAGGGCACTGGGGCTTTGGGATAAATGGCAAGGACAAAACAATTTAACACACACGCACACACATAATATCACATAATCATATAATGCGCACATTATATGTATGCACATTATATATAATATGCACATGAATGTATGCCTTTTTGGTTTGTTAGCATGGCTTTTACCCTGTGTTGTCATGTGTTTTAAATGCATTAATATTGGCAGAACGGCTGACCAATGCACTCAGATAAGGACATATGTTTTCCAAGGTTGGGACATTGGAGAACAAGGATGCATTCCAATTCATATTGTTAGTAGTATCTAATGCAATTGCAAATATAAGAATTTGCGTACAGGTGAAAGAAGCACTCATGACCCTACACGTGTAGTTCACTAAAGGTGACACGCACTATCGAGAAGTGTACATGAAGGCCGCCATTTCAGCTGGCAAAAGAATCCGCATGGTAGCGGAGCCGAGGAACCTCATTGCTTAGGCTCTGAGGGGAGGCTCCAGGGATTCTTTGAGGGCAGGACCCAATCCCCCGGTTGGTGGCCCTTGCACCCGCAGGCAGCCATAGGTGCCTGGCCAGTGCTGGGCGGAGATCCAGCTGAGCTCGCAATCACTGCTAGTGTTCGCCCTGAGGTACAAGTTTGTCCCTTTGCCCGTGATCCCTACATCGACTTGGAGCCCATCGCCCTTGAAGCTGAGCGGGGTGAGTTTGAGCGGATGTGGCTGGTTTGGAGGGATCTCCATTGGCACGATCCCCTACTTGCTGGAGGTGGAATGGTTGATGGCGCCGAGATCGCCAGGAGAATGGTCCAGGCAGGCTGTAGAAGCAGCTGGCCGCGGCGGGGCGGCAGTGGATGCCGTGGCCCAGAAGCCAGAAGATCGAAACTGGTTTCGCATCTTGCCAAAACCTCCCAATTTCGATCCACGATCCCGGGAGGAGGAGATATCCCAATGAGAGACTTCTCCTGGAGCCTAGAGCAATACCTCTCCTCCCTGGACTCCATCTACATCGACGACATTAAGGAGCTCAGGTCCAATCCAGGAAGAGAGATTGCAGTGGACCTCCAAGGTGGTGAAGAACGGCAACGAAGCAGCTTCCTGTATGCTTTGCTGGCACCCCTCCTGCGCCACAGGCCTCTCTCCCTAATCAAGCAGGCAGGTGAAGGATTCAAATGGCTTGGAGGCCTATCGAGTGCTCATCCAAAGCTTGGAACCAACAAGCAAAAACCGGTCCCTCGGACTTTTGACGATGATATTAGAGTGGGGACAGTTTGACATGAGAAAGGGGATCATTCTGAATCAGTTGCTCAAGGTCGAGGAGGCCTATGCTGAATACGAGAAAACGGGAGCTCGCCTCGACGAGACCATCAAGTTCGCCACCCTGATGCGCTGTGTTGGAGGCCAATTGAAGACCTGGTTACAGCTACAGGTGGCTGAGACGCAAAGCTACAGTCGGCTGAGAGAAGCGATTATCCAGTACGACCATGCCATCCAGAGGAGTTGGGATTTGAGGTTGACGCAGGAATGGAGGCAGCGGCACAGCCCGTGGAGAGGAGAGATGTTGAGTTGCCAGTGGAAGCTGGCCGGGCAGATGAGGAGGTTCATGATGAACCCTTGAGGGAAGAAGGAGAAGAGCAGGAAGCAAGGCTGGTGGTAGGAGGAGCTATGCCTGGAAGCCTATTGGTCAATGGCGTCGAGCTGACCCCGGAGTCGAGGTTGAGAGAGCTGAGGGCAGCGTGCAGTTTCTACGGCATCAGCGCCTCAGGAAGTAAGATAAAATGCTGCTAGAGGTTGGTAAGCCACATCAAGGAGCTGGAGTTGAAAGCAGCAGCATCCGCAGTTGCAGCAGCTCAGATGGAAGTTGCAAGGAGGCCGAGACCACAGCCTTTGGTGAAAGTTCCTTCGGAGGAGGAGCAGTTCCTGCATGAGCTAACGCACACTCCATATCAGCCCTGGTGCGAGACATGTTTGATGCACCGTGGTCGACCAGACAGGCACCTACGTACAGGAGCAGCAAGACTCTCAGGCATTCCGATCATTAGCATGGATTTCTGCTATACGAAGGCCGGAGAGATGGATCGACCAGCGCCAGCGGCAATGGAAGAGGATGGACATGAGGTAGTAGATCTGCAACAGGAGCAAGATGAGCAGCAGGGCTGAGGTGAGGTTCAAGGAGGTGAAAGCAGCTCTTTGGTTGGTCGTATCATGTAGCCAAACAAGATTACTATGTGCAGCTCGCTTGCAGTCGAAAGGCCAGTTGAGCCTTATGCGCCGGGAGACAATGACCTTCATCCAACTTGGCCACACAGAAGTTGGACTCTATGCAGACAATGAGCCGACAATGCGGGCCCTACTTCGCATTTTGCTAAACTCCCGTCACGCACTTGGGCTTCGCACAAGGATCTACACGACCCGGGTGAAGGACTCCGCAGGTAATTCCCTGGCCGAGAACGCCATCCAGAGGATCAGAGGACTGGCTGGTACTTTGATGGAATCATTGATGAAGAAGGTCGGATTGAGGTTCAACAGCAACCACGCGCTGTGGAGCTGGGCTGCACGTCATGGAGCTAGCTTTGAACTGACCCAGGGCAAGTCGTATGAGTCGCCTCTGGTTCCATTTGGTTGCCCGGTCTATGCCCGGCAAAGGCAATCCGAAGTGGCGAATGGCTATCTTTTTGGGCAAGACCCCACGATCTACAGAGAGGCGGATGCCCAGGCAGTGGAGGAGTATGCAAGATCTAAAGAAGGTCAAGAGGAGGCAGAACGCGAGATCCAGGAAGTGCAGTTGATGCTTGGGGCAACAGAAGAGGTTGTTTCAGGTGCCTTGGCAGCTGAAGGTGGAGTGCCAGCCCCAAGAGCCCCGCCAGCAGAAGGGCAAAGTTCACCAGTTCCTGCTCTACAGCATCCTGGAGAAGTGGGCTCGGATGGATTTGTTCCTATGGAGATTCCCCACTACCGTGGGATGACGACAAGGGCACTCAAGAGGAGAGAACTTTGAGGAAGACACCGCCTCCACCATCAGCAGTCAAGATTGAGCCGGAAGCAAAGAAGCCTCGAGTGGAGAGCTCTAAGAAGCAAATGATTGAGAAAGAAGGCGCAACATCGCCATCGAGCACCTCGAGGACGGAGATGGTTGACGAGTGGAGGAAGTGACTATTGAAGGGGAAACTATGTACCACTTATGAGGTTGTAGATGTAGAGACCCTGGCTATGGATGAAGAAGAGGAGGGCTTGGAGAACCTGGCGCCAGGGGCAATTCCAGAAGCCTTGTGGAGCAATGAACCCTTGCAGACAAAGTGGAGGAGCAGAGGCTGAAAAGGATGGGTGTGATTGCAGACCTCGAGACAGCAGATATGCTGTTGGACAAGCTCACAGCAAAGTTTGTCAGGGACTGGCGCATCAAGACTAAGGTCAACGAGGATGGCACCAAAGTGAAGAGGTGGTTGAGGAGGTCACGCCTAGTGGCAAGAGAGTTTGCCAATGACAAGAGGGATGATGTCTACAGTGGAAGCTATTCCCTACGGTACAAGGTCCTGAGAATCTACCGGGACAGCGCGTCGGAGCAAAGGCTTGGTTTGAGCGTGTCCAGCAACATCTCATGGAGGACCATGGATTACCTTTGATGTGATCAATCCCTGCCTTGGGAGATGTGGAGAAGGAGGAGTGAGGAGACAAAGTCTACGTGTTGATACATGTTGATGACATCATGTTTGCAGGACGGTCCAAGGCAGTGGAGAAGTTCGTGGACAAGCTCAAGGCAAAGTTTGAGGTGGAGTGGAGGAAGATGGCCAAGAGTTTTCCTTCCTCAAGCGCACCTGCAAGTTGACGCCAGATGGTTTGCTGGCCGAGGAGACCTATGGAAAGGTGAAGAGGCAGAGACTTCCAGCTTCAGCAGACATCCAAGATGCTGACAGCTCGAACTTGGTGGGACCTCAGGAAGCATCGGCGTTTCGCTCAATCACTGGAATGGGTATTTATTATTTGGCCCAAGAGAGATTGGATATAGCCTACACCACCAAGGAGCTTGCAAGCAAGCCCCACGGAGGTGGCAGTACGGAGGATGCGCAAGCTGGTGGGCTATCCCAAGGAGACAGAACATCAACATATTCTGCTCCCAAATCCAATCAGAGGAGGAGGCATCAATACCCATGGATCTTCGAGACCTG